GAAATAATTCTTTTAATAACAAATAATTTTCCTACGATAGTTCGGAATACAATCCTGCTCTTTTCTGCTCCCTGCTTGTACGTGTTCCACTGAGTTTCAATTACACCTCGGGAGAACTGGAAAGAAAACTTTTTAGTGGAGCACATAACTCAAATATATCCGTAATTATTACTCTTCTCTTTCGTTTCGTACCAGTGGCAAATATTAGGCAGATGGGGATTCTCTATTGCGGATCACCCAAAGTAAAAACTATTTACAATATATTTTACTTTCATTGTATCGTCAAACATCAAAGATATTTAAAAAAAAAAGTAACCCTACTGTCGGTGGTTTATTTACAATTTGGAGTGACGGTAATTTTAATGAGATCGACAATGAGTATACAAATATACATGAACTTAGTTACTCAACTACGGTAGAAAACGAGCAACACTTAACTAGATAACTTTAGTGATTAATGCAGGTGGATACTGAATAAATACCGGTGTAAGCATTAACGTCTCTCTTGTTCTGGAGAGAAGAAATAAATTCCAAAGGGGGATGAAAGAAGCAACATCAACGGCATAAGATGCAAATAGCAAGTGGGAAACTTAATAAAAGTTAAAGTATCGGATTAATACTATTTTATATTAAACAAGTAAATTGATATTGCAAGTGAAAAACACAATTTGGTCCCTCGACCCCGAAAGGTTGATTTTATTTTTGATGAAAACACAAGATCCGCTCGATCAATAAAACTGTGTTTTCCATACACTATATATGCATGCAATATAATATGTGTCTATATATCTATAGCGCTACAGGCCTTGTAGACCCCTGGCTTCTAAAAACTTGATTATTTCTCTCCATTTTTTTCGGTCCCTTGCTTTTTCTCTCCCTAATTTCTCACGCCTATTTCTGGCAAGTTTTGCTTTACTGCCTCCAACCACTTCTTCTTTGGACGTCCTCTTCTTTTTTTTACCCACTCCTCCCTCCTTCAGTATTGTTTTAACATTTCGATTCTCTGGCATTCATATAATGTGACCAAGCCATCTAGCTCTTTGGGCTCGTATTTTGGCCGTAATTGCTGGTTTTCCATACATTTTCCAAATCCACCAAATATTCTCTGCTATCTTTATTCCTTCGAAGATTTCCACCAAATATTCTCTGCTATCTTTATTCCTTCGAAGATTTTTCTGAGCACTTTTCTTTCCCAGATCTCTACTTTTTTTTTCTTCCTACTGGTTCATAATCCACGTTTCACTGGCTACATCACTGTGGGTCTGATTGCTGTCTCGTAGACTCGCAGTTTAGCTGTTCTTGACACATTTTTTGCTTTCAGTAATGGATTTAGCTACCTCATCGCTCTGCTTCCCTTCATTAATCTTTTGTCTATCTCTCTTCCTTCTTTTCCCGTGTTCGTTATGGTTATTCCTAAGTATTTAAATTCTGACACTTTTTCAAAACTATAGACAGTCTCTGCTCCTTGCATTTTGATATATTTGTTATTATTTGTTATGTCTCCTCCAATTTCCATGTATTGCGTTTTTGAACTTTGATGGTATACAAGGCAAATATCGAACACAGTAATTAATTAAATCTTGCCCAAGTACTTTCGATCAATAGATCATCCTTAGGGGCATTTCGTCAGTTGTGGCCGACATGAGCAGAATGCCATACATGTAAATTTGGACATAACAATACAATACACAAAGACAAACAAACACTTTAAAATTTTTAAAAATGGAGAAGCTACATGTTATATAGAAGCCGAAGACAGAATTCTGTTACTTTTCTTTCTTTTATTTTTTTATCATCATTTGTATCTATTTTTAAACCCGATATAATCAAACTTTTCTTTTTACTTGTTTTTTCGAGTTGTTCCATTCTGTCTTGTAATTTTTTCACGTCTATTTTTAATTTTCTGTTTTTCTCCTTTGTGTCTTATAGTTGTTTATTTTCCATTTGCTCTTTCTTTTTTGCTTTATTTCATTCATCATTTCTTAATTTTTTCCATTAATTGTTGCATCATTTTAATTATGACATCCTCTTTCTTTTCCTTTCTCTCCGGGTCACTTTTAGAAGGTGTATGCTTTGTCATTTTACTTCTTCTAAAATATTCATCCTGGTCTCTTTTCTTGCGTTTCGTTTCTTTATCTGTATCTATTTCGCTTTTCATCAGTATAGGTATGTTTTATAGATTTTATACTCACGTCCTGCCTAATCCGTTTTATTCAATCCAGCAACGTAAGATCAGACAAGTATAAGCATGATGTATTTTTACCTGATATCTGACATTAGATACTAAAATTAGAACATCTTTCATAATTTCAAAGTAAAATAAGTAGTGAAAGTAATAGAGTCAATGTCAATATTTTTATAAATTATATAAAATTCAACCACGCGACTTATTTGTCACGTAAAACAAATCTGCAACAACTACTCCACAGCCCATGAGCAACATCACGCGACGCGACGTAAACATCCAGTTCGAAAGTGGAAATTCCATTAAGATTCAATCTTCTGCCGGATGCGCCGTGTTGTCAATAAATGTTTGGCTTCGATAGCATAATAATGTCATTTTCAGAAATATATTATCCATTCGTGAAAATACGTGTTCATGCTGTTCGTTGTTCTGCTATGATGTCGTAAAAGCTGAAGTGTTGTGAGAATTTTAGTATTAAAGTTTTAAATGACGTAATAAAAATGTATTGAAAGTATAAAAATATTATTTGGTCATGGAACTTTTCATTTAGAATGTATATTGAAAATAAAGTTGATGCAAAAAATAAACAATTTTTAGAAAGCACGTACAGATTGATATAAAGTTCTGGTGTCAGAGATTGTGTAGATATACAAAAGAAAATCACGTTTATTGTAACGGTTTTGTAGAGTTGGGGAAGTTTTACTAACTTTATTGTTGAGAATTATATTTTATCTTGACTTTTCCAGTTTCTTGATTTAAAAATAAAATCTCTTTATTTAAGATTCATGATCCGTCATAAATTACGTGAAGTAGTAGTTGACACGTCTGTGTTTACACTCATACCACCTTATTACATCTGGGATAAGGGCCTCGTCCAGGCAGCCTTGTCTGTTTCTCTTTACCATTAGTCCTGCCACATCTCTAAACTGCTTTTTCTTAAAGCTCCGTTGTCCCTTTGGTGCATCCGAACCATCTCATTAGCATAATATGCAGCGGCCACTACCTGTAAGGTAATGGTTGATAGGGTCCTGTACGCGCTACATACCCTAATCAATGGTTTCTTTTGTGTTCTAAGAAACATGTCTTTATATTTCACTTTGTTGAAGACCTCATGCCACACTGGGGCCCCATATAGTAAAATGGACATGATTGATTGCAGGACAACTAATCTTTTGTGTCCCGGGGCCTACTATATTCAGCATTACCTTATTAGTAGCGCTATCCTTTCGGAGAAAGGGATGAAGTTTTCTAGAGAGTTATCAATGTTTTTGTGTAAGATTATTGAGGACAGTTATTTTTTCCTTCAGAGAAGTATATAATATGGTCATTAATTTTTAATTTTCCTGTACCGTACCGGGCCATCTTATTTGCTCACTCCTAATATTTCAATAGTATTCCTGCTCCAGTCTTAAATTACATTATGGACCTTTCCTGCTCTTAGTAGGCTTCGAATATTCCATGTTCCAATTTTTATAGATTTTCTCAGTAAAGCAGGTCTGGTTTTCTCAGTAAAGCAGGTCTGGAGACTCTTCGTACTCTTGCTTCATTTAAGAAGGGTCGGTACTTAGGGCGATTGTTGATTTTACTTGCCATGATGAATGATTTTTTTAAGATGTCAAAGGATCTTTAATGCAGTAGTTTTTTCTTGCTTTCTGCATCCTGATAACGTTGATCTTATTAGTTCTTCATCCTTTAGAGTTTATTTCTGCACTCAAGAGCAACAGAGTACCCCTACTTCTGACCAATGCCGTTGCACGGGATGTGGCACGTGGGGCCATAAGTGAGAGTTGACTATCTTATGAGGACGAATTGTCAAAAACCATCTCCTTTGACAAAAGGTACCACCTCTATAACACAACCCGATATTCCATTATGTTACCATTGGTATATATTTGAAAAATATAAACCAAAAATGTTTGATTAACAAAAAAATGCAAATTACGTTTACCGAAAGTACAAGCTGATTATAGCTGGAAATGTCAAACATGGAACAAAAACTTTTGGTATAGCAGTGTTGGCATGTTTTTATAATGTAGATGCTGTATGCTTCGAATATAAAAAGATAAAGCTTTAGAAAAGTACATGTTGTTTATATTATGTTATGAATTCTGCAATTTTTGATTTATATAAAACAGGAATGAGTAAAACATTTGTTTCTTCGGAGATTAAATCCAGTTAATTATTAGAAATTTTTTTAGTACATAGATGAACTTTGATAGATTAGGGGATAGATTTGGCAATCGTCAAATCAGCAGTTGCTAGATGTTTACAATTAATCTCGAAAGAGACAAATATTCACCCGTTATTGCTTCATATAAATTAAAAATAGCGGAATTCATGAAATAGTATAATCAAAATGTACTTTTTAAAAATTTTATCTCTGTATATTTGAAGCATACAACATATGCATTATAAAAACATGGCAACACTGCTAAATCGAAATATTTTTGACATTTGCGGCTATATTCAGCTTGTACTTTCGGTAAACTCAACTAATCACAGACCACTACTAATCTGAGGTAGGTGATCTGTGCAACTAATGAATATTATAATACGACAATGTATTATAATACTTTTTTAACGTTGAATGTTGTATTTTATGAGAATACTTTGTATGCAGTTTTTAAGAAAAAATAATTTTCTAGTTGTCATCTGGGTGATGTTCATATGTAGACGCAAGCTCGATACACTAGAAAATGTGGTCTATAGGATGTTGGAAGTATCGTCGGCGTATCTTGCAGTACTAATTTTTTAAAACCTACAAAATTGATATGAAGGTAATTATGCTTATATTAAAATTTACTCTCTTTTGCAGCATATAGAAAGTGCCAATCAGACGACTTCCACTGCGGAACTCAAGCTTCCGATCCATGCATTCCAAAAGAGAAAAAGTGCGATGGGTATATCGATTGCCGATCAGGGAAAGACGAAGAAGGTTGTCCTGGAGTCTCTTGTCGATTGGACCAATTCAGATGCTCTAAGGGAAATCGATGTATAGAAATGTCCCAGAAATGCGACCACAAAAACGACTGTGGAGATAACTCTGATGAACAAGGATGCAGTAAGTAGAATTGTTTAAATCCGTTACTGATTAAGATACACATTCGATAATTAGATATCAAATTATGTGTTGCATAGACTTCTTTTCATTCTTCACGAAATCCAGATATGATTTCCTCGCGTAGGTTTACAGTTAACCATTTTACAACATTAAAAACATGGTAAAAACTTTAAATAATCCATGTCTATCTGTCTAGGAACACAACTCTTCGTTATTAGAACAGATAGATTTGTAAATAAGGTGTCAAATAAGTGCTTATAATTAAAAAATATTAATAAAGGTGAGAAATTTGGCCTCGGACTTTCGGTTCCAGAGTTGCAATGGGAAGTACTGTTTTAATGACGCTCCTAATATGCAAGCGATATATTATTTGACGCACCTTAGCAAGACGAACCTAACCAAATTGGAACCTAATATAAAATATCTATCCAGCAACATCAAGAGTAAGGATCTCACTAAATTAATTTAGAAACATCTTTTGCAAATTTACTTACTGTGTTTTGTGGAAACACTGGAATAGATGCATAAAAGACATAACAAATTAAACACATATGAATGAGAAATTTATATTTATTAAAAACTCAATATTAACCTTTTAGATTTTCCTGTGTGCCACGGGGTCCAGTTCCGTTGTGCCAACGCTCTTTGTATACCGAGCCAATTCCGCTGCGATGGTTACCAAGACTGCTCCGATGGGTCCGACGAAGTGAACTGTACGTCCATCGTCTGTCCAGACAACAAGTTCCTATGTCCGAAAGGTGGTCCAGGAGGCTCACATAAATGCATTCCGAAAAACAAACTATGTGATGGAAAAAAAGACTGTGAGGACAATGCTGATGAAGAAATTGCTTGTTGTGAGTATTACTTTACCAGAGCAAATATGTAGTTTTTTTTTGTTATAAAATTTTTTCCAATCCTTTTTTGACAACAACTAAAAACAACTGGTTTTATATTTTATATAACTATGACTTTACAGTTATAGAGTGGCCATACTTCGTACTTTTGAGCTTTTGACAAATTTAAATACCATCTATATAAATGATTCCAGAAAATATGTCTTTATCATAAAAATTTGATGTTTAGTCACCATTCTATTTTATAAGCCATTGCATCCCAAATTTTCTGACATTTGACAAGCACCACCATAAATTCAAGTTTGAAAAAAATTTTCTTTATCATGGTAACTGGATCCTATTGTCTATTCGCTTAGCTAGGGCATATTTTGACAGACTCATTGTAGGAAACCTACAACACAACAATTCCTACTTCTCAGTATTAATAGCTCAAGTATACAACTATTGCAGACTTCTTTCTTTGAAAAAAAGAAGAATTATTCTAAATAGTGGAAGTGTATAAACTCGGTTCGCTAATGCCAGTCCGAACTGTCTAGTGATTTTAGTAATTATTTTTTTACAAAGTTAGTTACTTTTTGACAGACTAGAAGTCTCTGGAAATTATTATACAACCAAGTACACGTGCTCATAGCGCATTTCATTAGAGTATTTCGTCGACTTCTTTTGCAAACTTATACTATGAATTAGAAATTTATAGCATGTATATAGAATGTAAGTTTCTATTATATATAAAAAATATGTTTCATAAAAAAAGTTACGGTAATTTAGTTTATATCGTTAGGTTGCGTCAAATGTAGGCAACCAACTTAAACTTTTTGTTAGCATTTAGCTGGAGTTTCTTGAGAATATATTTAATATTTTCCAGTTAATTTATTATTATTTTTTAAAGTGATGATAATAATGCTGAATAAGCAATATTTCAAATGATATCTAATCACAGGACGTACTTAATATTGTGTTATAAAGTAGATTAGATAAAAAATATCATAATATTCATATTATAATTCAAAAATATCATTCATCAAAAATATCCAATATCATCAAAAATATAATTAAAACAAATCATAATCTTCTATTATTCCTATTAGAAACTAGTTTTGGACGGCCCGGGATTTTACCTTTTTTATCTAATATACTTTATTATGAGGATTTTACAATAACAGAATATTAAGTACGTTTTGTGATTAAATATCATTTGAAATATTGCTTATTCAGCATTATTATCATCACTTTTAAAAAATAATAAATTAACTGGAAAATAATAAACGTTTATTAAAAATATTCTCAAGAAACTCCAGCTAAATCCTAACAAAAAGTTTAAGTTGGTTGCCTACATTTGGAGCAACTTAACAATATAAATTTGCACCACTAATGAACTCTTTAGGTCAGCCGTAAACAAGGTCAGAATAGCCTTGATGATTTCCAATCTCCGATAGGAGCGGCACAAAAAGAAGAAGAAGAACAATATAAACTAAATTACTGTAACTTTTATCACAGCTTTTATTTAATTTTTGACGCCATGTCAAACTGAACTGGATGTTAACTGAAATGTTTTTGTTATTAAGAACATATTTACATAATTTTATAAATATATTTTAATTATCCACCTACGCCGAATGGGCAAATAATTAAACAAAAATGGTTGGTGTTTTGAATAAATCTTTGTGCAGTTTGATTACCTCGTAATTTAACAGCATCCTTACTCATCTAAAAATATTAACTTTTAAGGAACATTTATCATATTTATGTATATTCAAGAAAAACTTACCATCGCATTATCTGATAGAACAAATGGAAAACTTTGACTATCTCTAATAATAAAATTCAAAATAGAACTAACTAATTAACTAAATAGAACTAACAAAGAATTAAACAAAAATAATGGAACAATAAAACTATATTAGCTAAAATAAACAACGCGAATAATACAAATATTTACTACAATATGTTCAATTGTAACAACTCAAATATTATATTTTAAATATACAGGGAAAATGTTATGGGTTTAGTATACACTTCCACTATTTGGAATAATTCTTCTTTTTTTAAAGGAAGAAGTCTGCAATAGTAGTATATTTGAGCTATTAATACTGAGAAGTAGGAATTTTTGTGTTGTAGGTTTCCGACAATGAATATGTCAAAATATGCCCGAGCTAAGCGAATGGAGAATACTAAACCCAACAAAATTTCCCTGTATATTTAAAATATAATATTTGAATTGTTACAATTTAAAATATAGTAAATATTTGTATTATTCGCGTTGTTTATTTAATTTAATATAGTTTTATTGTTTTATTATCTTTGTTTAATTCTTTTGTTAGTTCTATTCAGTTAATTAGTTAGTTATATTTTAAATTTTATTATTATTGATAGATAGTCAAAGTTTTCCATTTGTTCCATCAGCTAATGCGTTGGTAAGTTTTTCTTAATAAATATGATAAAATGTTTTTTAAAAGTTAATATTTTTAGATTAGTTGTTTCTAATTTAATATAAACTTGTTTATACCTACATGGAGGTTTTTGTTGTTTGTTTGGGTTTATATGACTGCAGACTGCGGCCAGGACATTAAATTCATTCACCATATGTGGAAGATTTTAACATCCTCAAATATGCTAATGAGCAAAAATTACTATTGAACCACGAATTTGCCTAGTCAAATTACTAATATTTGCTTTTAGCATGTGGAAGTACACTTATTTTGTAAGATAATAAAACAACAGTTTATGTTAATGCTATCCAATGAACTGTTAATCTTTAATCATTGATTCTATCCTAGTCACAACATAAGGAACTTGCTGTGTCTTATTTAACCTCACTTTGACTTTTTAATTTTGTAGAATTTATTCCCACTTTTTTTATTTTTATTATTATTTTTTAAAATAATTTTATTATTTGTTATCAATACATTATACGGTGTAAATAAATAAATATTGATTGTCGGCAAAGTTCTATTTTATTTACTTTTGTTTACATTAATATTGACTAAGAGCACGTATGCTTGGTTGTATAGTAATTTCCAACCACTTCGAGTCTGTCAAAAAGTAACTAACTTCGCAAAAAAATAATTACTAAAATCACTAGACAGTTCGGACTGGGAATAGCGAACCGGGTTTACGACAATTATTGATAATTTTACATTGATAAACTTTGTATCAATACAAACTTGACAAGGCTGTCTACCTTCTGTCATAACCTCTTTCCTAAAAAACCCCACAGAGTTCTATTAATTAACATAGAGGTCAAACTACTTATAATCTTATTAAAAACAAAATTTAAGCCGACTAGAGGGCGTTATTTTTCAAGAATTTGAAAATGAAACTGACTAATAAATGCGCTAATTAAGTTAGTTTTGTCTGATCTAATTATGATTTAAAAATACACTTGTATAAGTAAAAATAATTATTTTTCTGCTAGGAAATTATCTTAATTTAAGCTTTAAAAAACCACGCTCACAAAATTCCATGTAAATATCACAAGAAACAAATGAAATTTCAAACATTGTTTAAATTTTTTGCCCCCTTATTTGTGTCACCTAGCGAATAACACGCGTACTAAAGTTTAAAAAATCGGCTTCACTTATTTTCCCCGAGTTTTATATCTAAACTCGGTTCGCTATTCCCAGTCCGAACTGTCTAGTGAATTTAGTAATTATTTTTTTGCGAAGTTAGTTACTTTTGACAGACTAAAAGTGGCTGGAAATTGCTATACAACCATCGAGCAAAAAGATAAAAAAGGGAATCTAATGGTTATGAAAAGGAGACCAAAAAAGTGGCCTCTGATGGCGGACATATCCGGAAATGCAAAGGCGCTAAATTTAAATTTTCCAACATTTGTTAACAATAGCTATAAAATATTTTTCAGACTAGAAAGTTTTAATTAAATATTAACGATAATAGTCTAAAAAGTGACATAATTGGTAAAAAACTTCAATATAAATAAAATTTCATGTGACAGTTGGGACAAACAATAACATAACCAAACTAAATTTGACTTCTTAAACAAGGAAAGAGACTGTCTTTCCTTGTTTAAAGTGGCCTCTCAAGATAGCACTTCCTGTCTAACAATATTTTTGTACCCACTACCTTTACATTCCCTCTTTTATCTTTTTGCTCGATGTATACAACCAAGCACACGTACTCATAGCCAATATTAATAGTAAACAAACTAAATAGTAAATAAAATAGAACTTTGCGAATTGCCGATAATCAGTATTTATTTATCTGCACCATATAATAAATAATTATGTTAAATTATAACAACTAAAATTTATTTTTTAAATATATACTACCCAAAATTTGATGGGTTTATTTACTTCCACTATTTAGAATAATTCTTCTTTTTTTCAAAGAAAGAAGTCTGCAAATGTAGTATACTTGAGCTATTAATACTGAGAAGTAGGAATTGTTGTGTTGTAGGTTTCCGACAATGAATCTGTCAAAATATGCCCGAGCTGAGCGAATGGAGTATACTCGTAGTTTATTATTACCATATTTATGAAAAAACCTTTTTCACTATCTTGATCTATTTTCTTCAATCCTCTTCTACTTTTTAGGTATATTCATTTAGGTATATTCATCCTTTGTTTTTGATAAAAAATAATAATGCATTGCTAATTATTTTACCCGGAGATCTTATAGACGTTTAATAATAGTAGCATGTTTTAGAAGAATGACAGATACTAATAGAATTTTATGTTTTAGCCAAACTAAATTGTCCAACTCTCAGCTGTGAGTATAAGTGCCAAGCGTCATTAAACGGAGGATCATGCTACTGTCCTGATGGAAAGAAATTGTCGTCCGATAATAGAACATGTACAGATAGGAACGAATGTTTAGAATGGGGATATTGTGACCAATACTGTTCCAATAGCGACGGAGGTAAGAGTGTTACATAGAGTAGTTTTGATGGCGTCAGTTAGCATTGCATACATCTCACATCACTCGCGTTCTCAAACTACTGTTCGTGGCAGCACTTGTTTTGAAAAATGGCGGACGAAATAGGGATATCGTTTGTTAACATTGTAAATTTGATAGGGGATTTTAAAAGAGCAAACGAGCTCATTATTTTTGAAACTTGATGAAGCTTATACTAGTTTTATACTCTATTTTATTCAAATTTTTGACATTTATTCCTATTATATTAAAAAAATAAAATCCACAAGGAAAAATTCCTGTAGCTGGCTGTATACCACGTATAACAAAAAAGGGGTTAGTCTTCGTAAATGGGTATATTTATTTAAAAAAACCCTTAAAAGGGCCACATCAATAAAACAAACGTTTTCGGACCACACAGTCTATCATCAGGTTTTTAAAATCGAAACATGCTAGGTCACAATGCCTGAGCCACCAAAATACTAGGGTAAAAACCCTTTAAATTACATTTTGTTATGAAAGATTGTACATTGTGTTGTGAAATAACTGTGATGTTCAGTATTAAATTAAATTTGACTAGAGGTGACACATGGCTCAATCGGGTTCCAGAGCCGGTGAGAGAGAACCTCTGCACTCGGTGAACAGCTGGGAACTATTTTATTAGTTATCTATTTTGACAACAGTTGTCAGCACGGTCTGCTGTCAGATACCGAGTAATGTCACAGAATAATAAACAATCAGAATGTCCACTCTCAGATGCCGCCTTTGAAGTTTTTCAGCACGCGCACCATGTTTTATAAGGAAACACATATCACAGACATATGATTTGTGAGGTTATGTAATTGTTTATATTTATGTTTAATTCTATTATATTTATGTTATTATATTTAACAATGTTAATATAATTGTATAGTATGTCTGTGATTGCCGAAGTCAATTAAACCGGGTTAATTTTTCTATGTACACCACATAAACAACACTGGTTCCCTCTAAAACATGGCGGAACGTCTGCGCGAAGGAGATGCGCGTACTTAATTTTCCATGGAGACTGGGCATTCTGATTGTTTATTATTCTGTGGTAATGTTAATATCATAGATAAATAATATAATAAAGTTAATATCAAACAGGTTTAAACCCATGATACTATAACAAAACATGTTTTGTTATAGTATCATGGTTTAAACCTAATAGGAGTGCTGAGTCCAAATAAATCATCCGCAGACGCATTCCGAAAATTCCTTTTAATTGTGACGTGTCTCTTAGCTTTGGCAGCCATTGTTAACTGTCTGGCCTTTGTATTTTAAACGAACCGGTAAATAAAATGTGCATTTATTTCGATTTTTTCGATCGCGCTAGCGATCTGCTGGCACTCACCAGTTTGGCGAACGTACGTCTTTGGGATACAGTACTTCTATTAGGTTAAAACTTATTCGATACCTACTAGTAGTTTCATGGTTTATCTAGTTTGTCTGACTAATGATTAAGTCCTGCAAAGTCCTTAATAAAGGAATAAACTGTATTATAATGCAACCGCTCAATTAGATACAATTAGGAATTGATAGATAATTTATAATTACACGATTTGCGGCCTTTAATTCCAATAGGTATAATTTTCTATTGTCATATATTCACCAAAGTTTAATTTTTAGGTTACACTTGCAGTTGTGCTGCTGGATTCACTCTCAAAGACAAAAGATGTGAAGCAGAAAATTCTAGCTCGTTACTTCTCTACTTCGCCCACGACAAGGCAATATTTAGTATGAGCAATACAGGAAGCAACCTAAAAGTAGTTGTTAATACTACTGGGGCAAGTGGTTTAGATTTCCATTATAGAGACAATATGCTTTATTGGTCAGACACAAAAACGAAAAAGGTAAAATATTCAACTTAATACGTTTTTAATAGTTCATTAATTCTAAATTGTTTATAGGTTCATTCGCAACAAATAGTGGGTACACCAGGCTTTTCAACTCCGGATATAGATCTCGCTCTGCCAGGCTCCTGGTTGCCAATTGCAGTAGCAGTAGATTGGATAGGAAATAAACTCTATGTAGCAGATTCTGTTGGTCAAAAAGTCGACATTTTTGAACTCAGAGGAAAATGGCATGCAGTAGTTTTAGGCTCTAACCTAACCAACCCAGCTGATATAGCTTTAGATCCTACCGTCGGTTATATGTTTGTAGCAGACAGTTCTCAGGTATTAAGAGCCAATATGGATGGTACTAAACCTGTGTCTATAGTATCAGAAGCAGCTTACAAAGCTTCCGGAATAGCAGTGGATATTATTGCTAAGAGAGTGTATTGGTGCGATTCTCTTTTGGACTATATAGAGACAGTTGATTATGACGGACAGAATAGATTTTTGGTAGTTAGAGGACAGCAAGTGCCAAGTCCGGCACGCTTAACCCTATTCGAAAATAGAGTATATTGGACAGATGGTACAAAGCAAGGTGTTATGTCTGTTGATAAATATGAAACAAGCAGTATTCAATCAATCTATCGAATGAGAGATATTAGAGATCCAAAAGCTATTAAAGCAGTCCATGGTTTGGTTCAACCACATATCATGAATCCTTGTGGTAATAACAATGGGGGTTGCCAACATATGTGCGTCGTTACCAAAACAGGTACAACTTTAGGCTACAGGTGTGCATGTAACATCGGTTGGAAACTGGCAACGGATGAACGCAACTGCGATTTAATTGAAGATTTCTTAATGTACTCACAACAGAGATTTATAAAGGGCAAAGTTCTTAATCCCGTTATAGAAGGTTTTAGCGAAGCTATTTTACCAGTTGTTTCACGACGAGCCAGATTCGTAGGCTTGGATTACGATGCCAAAGAACAGTTGATATATTACTCAGACGTTTTACAAGATGTTATTTACAGAGTCCATAGAAACGGCACAGATAAAGAAATAGTTCTGGCCTCCCAGAATGAAGGAGTCGAAGGTTTGGCTGTAGATTGGGCTGCTAAAAATTTATACTACATAGATAGTCGTAAGGGAACTCTTAACGTATTATCTACCCGTAATATTACTTACAGAAGAACGTTGTTGAAAAACCTTAAAAGGCCTAGAGCTATAGTTGTGCATCCTAATAAAGGTTATGTCTTTTTCTCAGAATGGGACAGGCCAGCGAACATATCCAGAGCATTGAGTGATGGATCGAACTTGATCGTATTTAAAAATTTGACACTTGGTTGGCCTAACGGTCTTTCCATAGACTTTGCTACTGACAGACTTTACTGGTGTGATGCTCTTCTTGACCATGTTCAGCATTCCAAACTGGATGGTAGTGATGTTAAAACAGTTAACTCGAGGTTGATCCGGCATCCATTCAGCATCGTTATTTACAATGATTTTATGTACATAACTGATTGGAGGCTAGATGCAATAGTAAAATTACACAAACTTACCGGTGCTGATGAAGAAATTCTTGTAAAAGAACCACAAACCAACCGTTTATATGGGGTAAAAATATACAGTGAAAAAGAACAACCGATCATAGATTCCCATCCTTGTTGGAATAACAATGGAGGTTGCCAGAAACTTTGTTTCGCTAATCCAAGAGATAATATGTATGAACTGGTAGCCAAATGTGGCTGTCCTTATGGAGAGAGGCTGGCTTCCGACGAAAAAACTTGTCAAGCTGATCCCAATCATGAACCTCCAGTACAAGCTTGTCCTAACAGTTGGGACTTCACTTGTAACAACCAAAGGTGTATTCCAAAATCATGGGTGTGCGATGGAGATGATGATTGTTTGGATAATAGTGACGAAAATCAAAACTGTACAAGTAAGTAACTCATATATTCATTACAAAATTTAAGAAAACTGCATTCAAATTGTTTGTATCATATTTAAACATTTTCCCTTGTTTGAAGTTTATACTGATGAAACAACCGTCATCCGTGAACTTTTGAAATTCTAATTTTAAGGTTCTTCATTGTTTTATTGGCAAGTCTTTAATATTTTGGAATATGTTTCAGTTATATAATTTAAAACAAGTTTCTCATTCCCGTTGTTGCTTGTAGCCTCTGTTGCTCACAGCTTTAATTGAGCTTTATCGGCCTTAATATTGTCTTGTTATTCTCCAGTTTTTTAACACTATCGATCATTGATACAGTCCTAGTAAGATGAGTCATCAGGAATAGCAACTTTATACTCTTCTTTAATCTTCTTGATTGTTAGCCTACAACTAGTTATATAAATAATTTACCTGTTAATATTCTACACATTTTGCCTGTGTTCTCTCTTTTATCAGCTGAGAATACGCCATACTAGTAGTAAAGTAACGACAAACGTATGTATTTTTAATTGTGTATGTTTTGTGTCGAATTTTATTTATTTATTTTTTTTTTTTTCAGAACCAACCTGCAGCTCGAACGAGTTCCAATGCAAATCAGGTCGCTGTATCCCCATGACATTCAAATGCGATGCCGAGAATGATTGTGGTGATTTCAGTGACGAAACGGGTTGTGTCAACGTAACCTGTTCAAGCACCCAATTCCACTGCGACAACGGACGATGCATCCCGAATAGTTGGAAATGCGACTCGGAAAACGATTGCGGAGACGGCTCAGATGAAGGTGAATCTTGTGCAGAAAAGACCTGTGCCTACTACCAGTTCACTTGTCCTAGAAATGGTCATTGTATACCTCAAAATTGGGTTTGCGATGGTGACGATGATTGCTTCGATAAAGAAGATGAAAAAGACTGTCCACCGATTACCTGCCAGAGTAATCAGTTTAAGTGTACTGATTTGAAACAATGTATTCAGGAGAGCTACAAATGTGACGGTATTCCTGATTGTAATGATGGCAGCGATGAAGTTGGATGTCGTAAGTATTTTATTATCATTTTTATTTTCTTTCAGGAGATACTCTTTTAGGTTTCAATAGAATATCTAATAACGAAAAATTAAAAGATCTTGAATGTGAACATAAACTTTTAATCATCATAAAAAAACTGTTCGTTTTAAAGAAACTTGAAAGAATTAGATATATCAACATTACTAAGACTAAAGAACAACATACAAAAATATAATTTCAATTAACTTAGAATGTCTAATACATTTTTGAATTTAATAATGACTTGCCTCTATTGAATAAGTTATAACTTTGTTTTTGCTTTTAGCTTCCATTGCACCTGACCAATGTAATTTGGAAAAACAATTCCAATGTCAAAAATCGGGAATATGCATACCGAAAGCTTGGTACTGTGATGGAACTCCAGATTGCGACGACAGATCAGACGAACCAGAATCATGCGGCAATATCAACTGCCCGAATAACTTCTACAATTGTAACAGCACGCAGTGTATCTTCAAAGCCTATATATGTGACGGTAAAAAGGATTGTGAGGATGGATCGGATGAAAGCAGCATACACGCCTGCGTGAAACCTCCTTTCAGATGTCCACCCGGCCAGTGGTTGTGTCCAGATGTATCTGAGCGTTGTGTTAATATTACAAGTGTATGCGATGGTAAACCTGACTGTCCTAACGGAGCTGACGAAGGACCCGACTGTGCCTTCGAGGAATGTTCACACCAAGCCGGACTTTGTTCTAATGACTGCAAGCAAACTCCACAAGTAAGTAAAATTGTGTAGGTCTTTAAATTATTTAAAATGAATGGGTCCTTGTTTCTAATTGCACTAATTTAATTATCTTTAAACATATATAATGTATCCGACCTATTTTACAATTACCAAATAGAAACAAAGTAAATAAGTATAATGCTCTTTAAGCTTATATTTTTAACATACAAACGATTTGAATTATTCAGTTAAATTCAATTTAGTACTGTATCTTTTGGTGAATTTAAGATAACCTTTGAGAATCTTTAAGTTGATTATAGGTTACATATTGGCGCCCAACGTGGGGCACACGAATATATAGAGTAGGTAGATTCACGTCCTGGCTAAATTTTACGTAAATTCTGAATTATATTTTCATTCAGTAAATAGACTACAAGATGAAATTTATTAAATTTTTTAGGGACCCCTATGTTTATGTCCAATTGGAGAAACATTGATGAAAGACGGCATGAACTGTGAAGATCTTAACGAGTGTGATCCTCCTGGAATTTGCTCGCAGATATGCACCAATACTAAAGGATCCTACTTTTGTTCCTGCGTGGATGGTTACACTCTAGAACCAGATAAAACCAGTTGTAAAGCTTTAAGTAAGTATATTTTATCTTCTTTTTTCTTGTCATCAATGTGGAAAGCGCATTCACTCTTAACATGCAAGATTTTATCTCCTACGACTTCTGAAACCCTGTACTAGCTTTGTACAAGTCTAGTAGATGAATATCATATTTTTTAGGGTCACAAAAAAAACTACTCTAATTAAATGAAGAGGACTTTCGTAGCAACATTTAAAGTTAATGAAGATCTCAATTATTTAACAATATAATAAACTACTTTTGTTTTTTTTTTAGATCACACTGCGGCTTTCTTAATCATTTCAAACAGACACTCAATTTTGGTAGCGGACCTAAAAGAACAAGGTTTGGAACGAGTTCCCATCATAGTCGAAAACGTTGTTGCTACTGCCTCAAACATGCACACTGGTACGATATTCTGGTCGGACATGAAGCTCAAGAAAATATCAAAACTGGAAAGGGGTGGTGATCCAGTGGAAATAATTTCTACCGGCCTGGATTTAGTTGAAGGACTGGCCTACGATTGGATTGGCAAGAACATTTACTGGCTAGATTCGAAACTCAACACGATTGAGGTTTCTAAAGAAAATGGGGATAGTAGGATTGTTATTGCTAGGGAAAATATCACTCAACCGAGAGGAATGTGTGTAGATCCAAGTCCTGGGTAAGCATAAATACTCTTATATAAACATCATTAATCAATAATACTAAACATCAATTGACATCAATATCGATTTCGGAGTATTTATAGTTTTTATTTTGCCAAAAAAAGTTTGTACTAAGACCGAAATCAAAATTTTGGGGCAAATTAATATTATTGCTTCAATATTTTCCTAATTTTTTTCTTTTATAAGCAAAAAATAGTATTGTATTTGAGAATACATACAAAATGCCAAGTGCTTTATATGTATACGCAACAACGTGGTAAATTGATGTAATTTCGAGCATTTGTACACCAAATAACTATCTCTAGGAGATTATTCGGTGTTGCATCCATCACAAGTTTATAAACAGGTCTTTTTGAACTTAATGCTATTCAACATTCATAATTTTTTTTGCTTTGGGCAAAAAGCCGACCACTGGGCTAATCCCGTGCATATATTCTGTTACCGGACCAGTGAACAATCACATACCTCTTAGGCAATCTATCGGACCTCTTATGAATTAATTTACCCTAACTTCTCAAGTCTAACTTACTTTATTTTTTTCTACTTACATTTTTATTGTCGTCGGTTTTCACATATGGATATACTATAATATTTATATTATTTTTAGAACCAGATGGCTTTTCTGGACTGACTGGGGAGAAAATCCAAGAATTGAACGTATGGGTATGGATGGAACCAACAGATCAATTATCATAAACACCAAAATCTACTGGCCTAATGGTTTAACACTTGATATAGCCACGCAAAGAGTTTATTTCGCTGATTCAAAATTGGACTTCATTGATTTTTGTTATTACAACGGAACAGGAAGACAACAAGTTCTGTCCGGAAGCCATTACCTTTTGCACCCACATTCACTAACGCTATTTGAGGATACCATGTACTGGACTGACAGACAGTTGAATAGAGTATTATCGGCCCACAAATACAAAGGCAACAATCAGACAGTTGTTTCTCATCTTATCTCGCAACCTTTAAGTATTCACGTGCATCATCCATCTCTGCAACCTATTACTAACAATCCTTGCGCATTAGCTCCTTGCCATCATATTTGTTTATTGTCTCCGTCTACATCCACTGGCTACAGTTGTAAATGCAAACCTGGTTTTAAATTAAACTCTGGCGGTAGCTGCAGTGAAGAAGATTCCAATTTCTTAATGGTTATGAAGGGCACTCAAATCGTGGATCGTTCCTTGAATCCTGGTGAAGAATCTACTGGATATATTACTCCAATTGTTGGCATCGAACACGGAGTACAGATTGACTACGACAGAAAGACAAATACAATTTACTGGGTAGAAAGCAAAGATGAAGAAGGGGAAAATGTAAGTATGATACATTTTTTTTTATTTCATGTTAATAAAAAACGATTCATGTACTGGTAATCGGTGTTAATTATAATTTGCGGTCTAAAGACATAAATAATAAATAACAGATGATCTAGATCAGATGTATCATCTTATAACCTGTTTAAAAATTGTATCGTGCCCCTAAGGAATGGATTGCTAATCAAAGCATATTTGGCTTACTGATGACTAGATGTCACTTTAACATTACACTACAATTAAAATATAAGTTCACGGTTCTCTTAACTGAAGAAAACGTTTTTCTAATAGAAAATTACTTTATATTGACAAATAAATCGGTTAAACCAATCTTATACTGCCAAAATATCAGTGTTTATATCATTTCTCAGGCAAAAAATCTAGGCGAACTATATGCAAGCCACTGTTTCACAATATTCTAAATAACCTATGTACCACTTGTATCTATCGGCGGGCGTGCTCGAAGTGCCATAAATGCGCCCTTGGTTCCTCATATTTGGCGACCACTGTCGTAAATTCTAGTAATTGAAATGACCTAAGTACTTGTCCTAGAAATGTTAGTACGCAGGTCAAGTTGCTCCATTTTAATCTTATATATCAAAACTTAAAAATATTTTATTTTTTGCAGTGTACTATATGGAGCACGCCTTACAGTGGTGGAAACAAAACCCAGGTCCTCGGAATTGATAATGGCATTGTGGGAGCTGCATCTTCTATTGCGTTTGATTGGCTTGGAAGAAATATGTACGTCGGTAACAGAAAGTCTAGTAATATTGAGGTTATCAGAATAGACGGAAAAATTAAATACAGAACAATAATTTTGGCTAATGATGGAAACACTACTTCTGTGGCAACACCTAGAGCTATTTGCTTAGACCCAACAGACGGAAAACTTTATTGGACAGATGCTGGTGGCTTCGGAGTTCCTCAAAAGATTGGTAAAGCTAATATGGACGGAAGTAATTCGGTTGTTTTAACTGAAATAGAAAAACCAGACGCATTGACTATTGATATCGAAACGAAAACCTTGTATTTCAGCACGCAGTATCCTCCTAAGATAGGAAAAATTAGCGTCAACGGCAAAGAAATAACATTTATTTTGCGTGAAGAAGATTACATTTCATCTCCAAAAGCTATTGGTGTCTTAGGTAATAGATTGTTCTACATGGATCCAGATTATGAAAAACTAGTACAAGTCGCTTTACCGTCTGGTAGCAATCCAAGAGTCATCTTAGAAAACGAGCCAAGTCTAAAAACTTTCACTATATTTAAGAAGAGGCCTCTTGGAGATCATCCATGCCTGCAAAATAATGGGGGCTGTGAACATATTTGCGTCCCAGCCGAAGGACGGTCAAGAACTTGTGCTTGTGGTATTGGATACAAGAAGAACGAAATGAGTTGTGTTCCTCACAGAACATTTGCTGTTGTTTCTCAACTCGACATAACTAGAGGATACAGCCTTAAAGATAGCGCTGAAGCTATTGTACCAATTACTGGTCCAGGGCATCATATTCTTCATGTGGACGTTCATTTTGCTGAGCAATGGATATACTGGATAGAGTTTAATAGGGGCTATTGGAATGGTATATTTAGAATAAGACCAAACGGTACAGAAATGGAACATATTATAAAAGACGGTATTGGCAGCAATGGCATAAGAGGAATTGCAATTGATTGGATAGCAGGAAATATGTACTTTACTAATGTGTTTCCTCATGAAAATTATGTTGAGGTATGTTGGTTGGATGGACGTCATCGTAAAATCATCGTTAAAACTACCACTGACGCTCCTAGAGAATTGGCTGTTAACCCAATTAAGAGAATTCTTTACTGGATTGATTATGGCCAATACCCAAAAATTGGAAAAGCTAACTTGGATGGATCAGACTGGCAGCCTGTAGTGACGTCTGGCATTAGCAATCCTACAGATCTTACCATTGATATGAACACTCATGATGTATACTGGGTAGACTCCAAATTAGATATGATTCAAAGAATCTCTTACAGTGGTGGAAACAGACAAGTAATCCGAAGAAATTTACCAAATCCTAAAGGTATAGCCATGTACAAAACTGAATTATATTGGGTAGATAGGAATCTTAAATCGATATTAAAAGCTTCCAAATTACCAGGCAATATGTCTCTTCCGACGAAAGTACGCAACAACTTGGCTAATTTGAGAGATATAGCAATATACGATATTACAAATCAACCTTCAGATGACTCGAACCCTTGTAGGAAGTTCGGAAATGGAGGATGTGAACAACTCTGCTTCTCGTTCCCAGTTGATATCGCAACTGGACCAAGAGCGTCGTTTAAATGCGATTGTGCTACCGGTAATCTGACAGATGGACGAAAATGTGATTTTGTTAACGAATATTTGGTGTTTACCACAAGAACTGAAGTAAGAACGGTACATCTAGATCCACAATCTACAAATGTACCATTTGCACCTATAGGTAATCTTACCAATGTTGTCGGAATTGATTTCGACTATAAACATCAAACACTGTTCTTCACTCAGATCAAACCATGGGCAAAAATAGCCAAGATGCCTGCAACTAAACCAGACAGTAATTCCATTGTTACTATGAAAAACAAGGGTATAAATCCTGAAGGGGTAGCGTATGATTGGACACAGCAAAAGATATATTGGACCGATTCTTCCAACCGCAGCATCTATGCCATGAACTTGGACGGCACTGATTTGGTCATGATTGTTAGGGTTGAAAGACCTAGAGCAATTGTCTTGGATCCATGCAATGGAACGTTATTCTATACAGATTGGGGCAAATTTGGAACCGCAGGCAAAATTTTTAGAACAACAATGGCTGGATCTTTGAAACGAGTAGTTATCGACCGGAATTTAGCTCAACCCAGTGGCCTGGCTATAGATTATGACGAACAAATGCTATATTGGACAGATGCAGTGAGAGAGAAAATTGAACGATCTGATCTAAATGGAAAAAACAGAGAGATTCTAGTGTCTGCTACTATATATCCCTTCTCCATAACAGTTTTTGGTAGATACATCTACTGGACAGATCTACAACTTAGAGGAGTCTACAGAGCAGAAAAACACACTGGAGCCAACATGGTAGAAATGGTAAAGAGGCTCGAAGACAGCCCGAGAGATATACAAGTGTATTCAGACAGAAGACAGCGATGTAGTGTTAATCCTTGTCTTATTAACAATGGTGGCTGCGCACAGAGTTGTCATCCAGGTCCGAATGGTACAGCTGAGTGTCGGTGCGACGAACATAGTAAACTGGTTAATGAAGGTAGAATGTGTGTGGCCAAGAACCTTAGCTGTGATACTAGTAAATTTTACTGTGCAAACGGTAGATGCATTTCCAGAATGTGGGCGTGTGACGGAGAAGACGACTGTGGAGATAATAGCGATGAAGACACAAAGTATTGCTGTAAGTAAATTTATATTAATAATATTTGTCTCAGTTTTCTTAATTTGATGAATTGTTACTCATTGAGTTCAGTTCTTGTATAGTTTTCATCTTCTCTGTTTAAATGTAGATATTTCGCGTATGGACTACACTTTCTCCTTGATCAAATGGTCAACCAGTTTCTTCTTTCTCATTTTTTTTTGTTTTAAACATTTTATCATAGTATGCGTTAAAAAAAGTGTAAGTGATTTTGAGAATAAAGTTAATATTTCTCACTTTTTCGTATTATGTGTACCAAGTAAAAATAAGACACTTCAGCGCACTTCGTCTTTTGACCCTCACTCAGTCGACTATGCGTCAAAAGCTTCAACAACACCTCAACGTCAAAAGTATCTAATACACGTCAAAATAATGACAATATTGCGTCAGGAAAAGTCAAAAACTCGAATATTGGATGTGTTCGGACGCATAATCCTACTTTTGTATGCACATTGTATTATTCTGACGCGATTAGATATTTTTTAACGGGTTTGGTACATAATAGACGAAAATAAGACGTTTTTCGAAGTTTTTGATGCATACATAATAATTGAGAGAGATCAAACGTCAAAAGGTTGTGCAGTATCTAATATTTTTCGTACAGGTTTGATCAATGATGTAAAATATATAAGTATTATACGTCATACGTCATTGGTGGATAATTTTATAAAGAAATATTTATTAAATAAAAGTTGAGTTTACTAAAAGTACAAGCTGATTATAGCCGCAAATGTCAAACATGGAACAAAAAGTTACTGGTTAGCAGTGTTGGCATGTTTTTATCAAGGTTAGTAGATTAAGTAGATACTTAAATATCTACTAACCTTGTGTTTTTATAATATAAGAATGCTGATGCTGTATGCTTCAAATATAAAAAGAAAAAGTTTTAGAAAAGTATATTTTGTTTATATCATGTTAAGAATTCTGCAATTTTTGATTTATATAAAACAATAATGAGTAAATATTTATTTCTTTGGAGATTAATTGCAGTTAATTATTAAATTTTTTTTGCAATTACCCTTTGATAGATTAGAGAATAGATTTGGCAGTCGTCGAATCAGCAGTTGTCAGATTGCAACAGATGTTTGCAATTAATCTCGAGGGAGACAAATATTTAGTCGTTATTGTTTCATATAAATTAAAAATTGCATAATTCATATAATAGTATAATCGATATGTACTTTTTAAAAGCTTTCTCTCTTTATATTTGAAGCATACGTGTTTATACGTCCATGCATACAACAGATGCATTCTACAAATACCCCAACACTGCGAAACCGAAATATTTTAATACTTGGTTGAGATTTGCATCTATATTCAGCTTGTACCTTCAGTAAACTCAACCAATAATCGGCATATATTGTCTTTAAATGACTTAGAAAGTGTATCACTCTTATGTACTCCATAACGACATCGTTTCGTTGTTACTTTTCATACAGGTATTAGAATAATACTCAGATGATTGTTATTTATATTGTTAACCTAATATGTTTGTTTACAAAAAACTGTACGAAAAAAATGGCTGCCACTATTTTATGATAAAAGTTCTATTTTTTTTTATTGTATTGTCTGATTTATCTTGTGTCGAATTTCTTAATTTTTGCATGTACCGATTTTTATTTGCCTCTGGAGATATTCTTGACCTTCCATTCAATATTTTGGTAATTTTACCCATTAGTCTTGTCTTCTCAATTTTTCGCAATTTTATCTTCTTCTTCTTCTAGTTCCATGACCGTTATCGATCGTTGGATATCATGTTGGCTACCATATTTGCTATCGTAACTTTATTGACAGCAGCTCTAAATAACGATGTAGTTGATTTTCCATACCATTGCCTTAGATTTTTCAGCCATGATATTCTTCTTCTACCAGGACCACGATTACCTTGGATCTTTCCCTGAATGATCAGATGTAAAAGATCATAGCAATTTTATCAGTTTTTACAAATACTTCGTGTGCTTGATTCAACGTATATGTCAGCATAGTTTTTTATTAGTTTTAAGTAGTTGTTCAATGTTTAAGCAGTACTTAAGTTTTCGTTCATATATACGTCAATACTTTCATATATATTATGGTACTATTTATTATATTTCAAAAATTTAATACATATATTTAAAATATTTTTTGTTGTATTTCAGCTTTTCATTCCTGTTCGCCTAATGAGTTCAGATGTGCAAACGGCCGTTGCATATTCAAATCCTGGAAATGTGACCACGAAAATGACTGCAAAGATGGTTCCGATGAACAAGATTGCCAATATCCTCTCTGCGCCGACGGAGAATTCACTTGTGCCAACCACAGATGTATTCCTATGGCTCAGGTATGTCTTTTGTTTTATTGTAAAACTCTTTAAAAATTGTCATAATTACACCTAATTTTGACAATTTATACGACAACGATATCAAAACCAAAATGTCTTAGATCTGGTGTTCGAGAGGTATCGGATTTTGTTTGATTATCAAGGATTAGTAAATCTTGTTATTAGGAGATGACAGTGGAATGAAACCAGATTCGCTGTCAACGAATCTAGACGCATGTAGAAGCGCACATCTGCGTAATTTTTTGGTATATGCAGTGACAAAACAAGATTTCCGACAACACCAGAAAGCGCTCGTGTAGTCCCCCTTCACCAACACAATTCCTGATCCCCTCAGTGTGCTAGGATTGCTTTTTATCACATACACCAAAGAATTATGCTATGACGTTAACCAACGTTCTGAAAGGACATTGTACATGAAGAAGAAGAAAGAATTCTCTTTTACAATTTGAAAATTCAAAATTATAAAATATAATTTCGGGTTTTCAAATTTAAAAAATAACTAAGTAAATATGGCCGGGGTTTGAGTTTATTCAGTCGCTCTCTATGTGCTGCTATATGCGTCTATAATATTCGTTGGGTGAATGCTCAGCACATACTTTATTTCAAGATTATAATACACAGCACACATTGTTTACAATTGGTAACATTAGATGGGGTAACAATATGCAACTACATGTTACATAATTGCAAAGAATATAGAGGCATAATGCGTCTATATTCTTTGATAACTGTTTTAGGATATGTCAACAAAATATCTACGATTATTTATATGGGTTACATTGTATTACCGTGGACTGCAAGGATGTGCAATGAAGAATTGCACGACGAATAATTAAATAGTAATATTAAAAAGATTAGGCATAACCTTTGCCTGAATTCTAGAATAAAGCTCTAGAATGAACTTCTAGAGCTTACATGCAGATTGTCTTGCACATATATTAGCATGTTTAGTTGTAAGGATTGTAGAACGTAAAAAAGTAAATAGACATAAAGATAGTCACGGTTTTAGTGACGTAAATCCGAAGGGGTATGGAAAAATAAAATTGTTGCTTCGACTACTTTCTATACAATTTCGTCATATTTTCTCTTCCTTTAAATTTTCCTTGGACGTATTCAAAAATAAGGGTCATTTATCAAGATAAAAAATATCCTATCGACACTACCTCGTCAGCCCGATTCAAACCAAAAAGTCCAACTGATGTCTCCAAAATCTTCCCAATTTCAATGGTTCGAGCAAAGATGTGACACTGGCTTTGATGGCAAAGAACTAAACTGTTAAATAAATTGTTTTCTGTCCTGTGGGCTATTGAAATGTACAAATATTAGTAGCTTTTAGCTTAGCAAAAACCTTGCTATGGCTCTGATGAAATGAAAGACGTATATTATGGTATTGGAGCACAAATTAGTCAAACTTTTACGTTTGAATCGGAATTAGTAGAAATATATAACTGTTAAAGCTCTGTCCTCGAACCACTGAAAGTGGAAAGATTTTGGAGACATTAGTTGGACAGTTATATTGTTCTATTGATTCCGATTCATATATGTATTTAAGACAGTATATATAGTAGAAGACCATTTGTAAATCTTCGTGTTTAATTTGGTAAACAATACCGTACTATGACGTCATTTCGACCTCGTTTGGTGAGATATGGATAACTGAATAGAAACTCAAGCACGAAGATTAACAAAGTCTCTACAATTGTTTTCTTCTTAAGTTGTAGTCATTTACTATGGTGGCCACAAGTAAAAAAATATTAATTAAGTATCGTTTTCTGTATTTTCCGTTAGTGTAGCGTTTTACTGCATGACTTTTCTATCAGCTACATCTCGACCACAATTTTGTCAAGTACCAATGCAACAAAAGTGGAGTATTAGGTACCCCTCATCCGCTTAAATTTTTATATACAGGCCAGGACTACTACTGTAAGGATTGCCGTATCAGAAAATGTGTTCTTCCCGTATTACAATACCTAGAGGGACATTATTTATATTGGATATAAATAAACTCTATACGCTTTAATACTCTCGTACTAAATATAATAACTTGTCATAATTTTAGGTATGCAATGGCGTGAATGACTGCAAAGATAACATTACATCTGATGAAACACACGAAAGATGTCCTAACAATACAACATGTCCTCCCAACCATCTAAAATGCGAAAATACCAATATATGTGTAGAGCCTTACTGGTTATGCGATGGAGATAACGATTGTGGTGATAACTCCGATGAAAATCCATTACATTGTGCTCAAAGAACTTGCCCACAAAACAGCATCAGATGTTCAAACCACAGATGCATACCTGCAACTTGGTAAATGTTTTTACATATCGTTACAATATGTAAAGTATATTATTTGTATCTCTATGCATGTCGTTCCACTTTTTGTGTTTTATCTCATTACTAAGGCATCTCTTTATGTATTTTATAGGTATTGCGATGGAGACGACGATTGTGGTGACGGTGCTGATGAACCTCCAGAGTACTGCAAGAGTGATGGAAGAACCTGCTTTGGAGATTTATTCACTTGTGACAATGGTAACTGCGTTCCAAGAACATACATCTGCGATGGAGATAATGATTGTTTAGACAACAGTGACGAAGATAGCAGACATGAATGCAGTAAGTATATAATTCGTCAGCTTACATAATTCTTCTTCTTCTTCTTCTTAGTCGTTAACCTGATGCAGGTATCGTGATATCATGAAGCTATTAGCTAAATTTCCCAATGTTCCTCCACGTTTTTCTATCTTCTGACATTCTAGCACATTCTGACAATGGAGCGCCAATGGTAGCAACAATATGGTCCGTGTATCGTGTGGGAGGTCTACCTCTATTTCTTTTGCCTTCTACTTTTCCCTGGATCGTAAGTTTTTCAAGACCATTTCTTCGAAGCACATGTCCAAAATAGTTTATTATTTGTTCTGATATTTGTGTTCTTACTTTTTTCTTTATGTTTAGCTGGTCCAGTATGGATTCATTTGTTCTTCGTGCCACCCATGATATTCTCAGCATTCGTCTTCAGCAGTATATCTCAAATACATCTATGTTCTTAGATAATTAATAAAGCATAATTAAATTAAGGATGAATCATCAGATTTTTTCACTCGTAAATTAGGATAGAATATATTGGTAATTATAAACCATCATATGTCAAGCGGCGGTGTCCTAGTGCTTTAAAAGATTTACACGAAATCCAATGGAATTTACACAATGAATTTCGTTAGTCATTGTAGAACAAATTCATAATCTACGTAAAAAAAAGGATCTAATGATATCGAAAAATAATATGCAATATACAACTCTTATTCCGATAACTATTATATATCTTATTCTCTTATTCCGACTATATACTTATTCCGATCCAGAAACTTTTATAAAAGTCAAAATTTAATAATCAACTTTTGTATTTATTATAATATTATCATTATCTATTATATTATTTTATAATCAACTTAAAGCATAATAACTGAATGAATTTTTCCTACATCATCCTTAACAAAACGAAAAACGAATTGACAACTAACTTCTAATTCTGTCATTTTAATTATTGACATCTGACACTAGATTATTGAAAGGTAGCCATCAAGTTAGAATCTAAACTCGATGAAGGAAGCAACCAGCATAGGCAACTATTATTACTCAATAATTTTACGTCATAACATTTAACAAGATGTTACAAAACATCTCAAATCTAAACATAAATGATAAAAATCTTATTTATACTTGAAAAATGTTTTGTTACAATAAATGGTTTTGTGTTGTTAGCTTAGATTAAGATATAGGCGCCGGAGTTAGGCAACACAGATGACAGGGATGTCATGTGAACGTAGCCGAAGCTCGGGCAAGCATGTATGTTTGAGGGTTGAGAATAAACTGATGTTGTGAAGTAACGATTATTATTTGTAACCCCTCTTTGATAACACGACATGGTGGCAGCTGGTGCTTTGTTTTGTTAACATTAAACAAGCAAAGAGTGGTCGAACGTGACAACAGTGCAAATCTTATGCATAACCTATAAATCAGAGGGGACCTAAAATCCTTAAAATGGATGCACCTATCCAAATAAATAAAGAAGTGTTTGCGAACATTTCGGCTCCAAGCGAATTTGATTTTACACAGCCCAGACATGGCCCCAATGGAAGAAAAGAGTAGAGAGATATATGTCTGTAAGTGGATTTGGACAAAAATCTGACAAGGATAAATTAGACCTACTGTTGTATTTAATGGGAAATGAAGCAGAAGATATTTTACTTCAAAATCAACCAGTGGAGAATGCATCCTTTCAAGATGTAATGCAGATTTTCGACAATCATTTTATTCCCCGAAGAAATACAATCTTTGAGAGATTTCAATTTAATTCAAGGGTACAAAGGCCAGGAGAACCTGTGGGAAACTTTATTTCAAGTCTACATACTCTTGCAGAGCACTGTAGCTATGGAGCTCTTAAAGATGAGTTAATTCGTGACAGGATAGTTATCGGAATAGCTGATAAAAAGGTGAGCGAAAGAATGCAACTAAATGATGGTTTGACACTAGAGAAGGCAATACAAATAGCACGCCAAGCTGAACTTCAAGATAGTCAAAATAGAATTATGAGACAGGAGCAGTCAGTTAGTGCAGTTAAACAGGACTACAGGGAGCGTAGTGATAAAAGACATCAAGGTAAGAGTTTTGCTAAACAAGAAACAACTCATGAGAAAGTTAAGGAAGGTTACAGATGTGGATACTGTGGCATACCTACATGTAAAAATAGGGAGAAATGTCCAGCCAAGTTCTCTGAATGCAGATCTTGTTCACGTAGAGGTCATTGGAGTGTGATGTGCAGGAAGAAAGCTGTCAGAGCTGTTAAGTGTTCAAGGTCCACCAGTAGCAGTAGTACAGATGACGAAGGAAGGGATTCAGTAAATAAAAACAAATGCTCTATAGCAACAAAAACAGCTAAATACTTGGGTCATATGGTCTCTGAGCAAGGGATATTAATTGATCCAGATAGGGTTAAAGCTATCCGTGATTTTCCTGAACCAAAGAATAAGACTGAGCTGTCAAGATGGCTGGGTATGATTAATTTTGCTGCAAAATACATTCATAATAAATCTGAGATTCTTGAACCATTAACACACTTACTAAAAAAAAATATTAACTTTTTGTGGGGTCCAGCACAAGATAAAGCTTTCAGCACTTTAAAACAAAAGTTAGAGAGCCCTCCAAATCTAGCGTTTTTTGATGCTAATAAAACCATAATTGTTAGTGCAGACTCAAGTTGTTTTGGTATAGGTGCATGTCTATTTCAAGAAAATGTAGATCATACTCGGGAAATAGTGGCTTTTACATCTAGGCTTCTGAACTCAGCTGAAACACGATACGCTCAGATTGAGAAAGAAGCTCTTGCACTTACATGGGCAGCAGAATATTTTTATGATTTTATTTCAGGAGTTCCTAACCTAATTTTTGAAACAGACCATAAACCTTTACTACAAATTCTGCAAACTAAAAATTTAGATGAGTTAACGCCACGTTTGCAAAGATTTCGAATGCGTTTAATGCGATACAAGTATACTGTAATCTACACGCCGGGAAAAAATTTAATTGTAGCAGATACTTTAAGTCGGGCCCCTTTACAAACAGATACGTTAGCTAATAAAGAACTAACTGCTGAAACTGCAGCATATGTGCAGTCAATTATTCATAATTTACCAATTAAAGATTATTTTTTGAATTTAATAAAAACAGAACAAGAAAATGAATATATTTGTAAAAAACTAAAAGAATATTCTTTGTCTTCTTGGCCTGAAAGATCTAAATTGCCATTTGAATTGTTGCCATACTATCAATATAGATATGAAATTTCCTATTCGGAACAATTACTTTTAAAAGGGTCTCGCATAATCATTCCTAAGAGTCTTCAACTCAAGGTGTTGGAATTTATTCATACAGGCCATATGGGAATTGTAAAATGTCGAGATCGTGCCAAACAGAGCGTTTGGTGGCTGGGTTTGTCATCCCAGATTAATAACCTTGTCACACATTGTCCCCAATGTGTTGAACACAGAGTAAATCATAGAGAAACATTTCATAAAGACAATACTGTACAAAGGCCGTGGCAAAAACTGGGGGTTGATTTGTTTAAATGTTATGATAAGTGGTATTTGATTGCCACTGACTACTTTTCACATTGGTTTGAAATTTTTACTTTAACCAATATGACAGAAGATGCCATTATTCCTAAGCTTAAAGATATTTTCTCTCGTTATGGTATCCCAGAGGAAGTTAGATCCGACTGTGGTACTCAATTTTCATCAAAATTTATAAAGTTTTCAAAAGAATATAATTTTGTTCATACGACGAGCAGTCCGCACTGGCCTCAGAGCAACGGTGGAGTGGAACGCACTGTACAAATTGCAAAAAGATTAATTCAGAAAAATAAAAAAGAGGACCTAAGTTTGGCATTGTTAGCATATAGATGTACACCCCTAGAATGTGGTGTTTCACCTTCTGAATTATTAATGAATAGAAAATTAAGATCTAACTTACCCCAGCTTCCAAGCTTATTAAACTTTTCAAAAGAACCAAACACTAAAAATAAAAAGAATGAAATAAAGGATAAACAAGTGAAAAACTACAATAAGCGACACAATGCCAAGGATTTAGATCCTCTTAAGGTTGGTGATTCTGTGTGGGTGGTTGATATCAGGAAATATGGGCGAGTTGTTGCGATCTGTCAGGAACCCAGGTCCTATATAATTGAAACTGAAACGGGAAATTTAGAAGAAATAGATGGCATTTGATTCATGCACCCTACTGTTTCCCTGTATTGAGCACCCAACCAGAATCCTCAAATGATTATGTTCCGCCAATTTCTAGTAACACAAAGCTAATGCCTTGCTCTAATCAAAGCAATGGTGACATACAGGGTAAAATAATGGAGGAAAGTAGTAGGGGGGAACCCAGTGTATTTCAGGACAAAATCGAACAAAGTGGAAATCATGTTTTACCTCCATCGGGTCAGGATAAAAGCGATAGTGTATCGGACTTTGAGTGCGTAAAGCCTAGCAGGCCAAAAAGACTTGTGAAGAAACCGGTTCATTTAACAGATTATGTTTGTAGTAGTTTAAGTTAGTTTAGGTATAAGATCATTAATGACACAGGGATCTTTTATAAAAAAAAAGGAGATGTGTTGTTAGCTTAGATTAAGATATAGGCGCCGGAGTTAGGCAACACAGATGACAGGGATGTCATGTGAACGTAGCCGAAGCTCGGGCAAGCATGTATGTTTGAGGGTTGAGAATAAACTGATGTTGTGAAGTAACGATTATTATTTGTAACCCCTCTTTGATAACACGACAGGTTTATAGATTGTTTCCTATTCTTTACTATACTGTTTTATTTATTTAACATGGTTTTGCGCTATTATTCCCATCATTCCAGATTTCATTTTTTTTTCAGTTACTCTTAATCTTAATGGTTCCCCAATTAAGTTCATTTTAGTTCTTCCTTGAAAGGTGTTTAATCGCTCACCGTTAGAAACAGAAATACAGTTATTTATGGTTTTTGTGTGATTTTTAGCAATTTTCTTTTTTTAAAAATTAAAAAAATGTATCTTGTTTGTATTTTTAGACGACAGAAAATGCGATGAAGAAAACGAATTCGTGTGTGAAGCAAACAAGGAGTGGCACAGAGCTCAATGTATTCCTAGGAAGTGGATATGCGACGGAGATCCGGATTGTGTTGATGGTGCTGACGAGAACGCTACTATACATCACTGCGCGACACCTCAGCCTTGTAGCGACGATCAATTTACATGTGGTAATGGAAGATGTATCAACAAAGTAAGTAGCAGTCAAAAATTTCTTTTGAATAATATTAACCTTATTGCATTTTAACTGTAGTGTAGTTAGCTTCTCTAAAATGACAATGAAAATAATATACATTCTTATCTTATTCTTTATCTTTTAGGGTTGGGTTTGTGATCACGACAACGACTGCGGAGATGGTACCGATGAGGGCAAAGAATGTAACTCCAAATACAAAACATGTTCTCCCAATGAGTTTGCCTGTCAAAACTTCAAATGCATTCGTAGTCAATACAGATGCGATGGCGAAGATGATTGTGGAGATCATTCTGACGAAGTTAACTGCAGTAAGTGTTTTAGTTATGTAGTGTTGATGTGTAGAGACTGATTTCCAATCTCAGATAGGAAAAGCAGTTTTCCTTGCAGCAAAAGTTAAAAATAAACATATTCCTTGTCACTTGGTGGCCAAATAGCTAATAAGTAGATAATTTGAGGTTAAATAATTCGAGTTGGTATTTACGGTTGGTTTTCCTCTATTTTCTGCACAATTCTTGTAAGCAAATGGTTGTGTTCCATTCAAAATGCCAGTCTGCTGTGTTTTAATTAATCCACACACACTTTTTTGTATTAATCTACGCTTAAATTTGTAAAAAATCTTCGCCCCAAAATATTATCGACCCAATTATATCTTTTGATAGGTCGAATGATTCAGATCACCGTAAAAAATGCAAATAACATTTTTGTGTGGTAAAACCATCGAGTTAGAATCTATGGAGAGGGCATCACGTGACTAAAAACGACCTCACGTCGGCCATATTGTTAATACTATTGTTAATATTGTTTTGACACTTTTGACAGATCGTGTAAGTTTATTTACGTTTGTTGTTTTTCGAATATTTTAAGTTTTATAATACTTTTATATTAACTGTAATAATATATTGTGATAGTGCATAATAATGGTTTCTTGTTCTCAACGTAGTTGCAGTAGCAGAAGCAATGCTAATAAAAAATCTTCAGAAATAACGTTGTACAGGTTAGTATACAAATATGTAAACAAAGTAATGGCCCGTACTTCAGAGAATAAATTAATAGTATTTGACTGTATTAATTTATCGTTATGTATAATATATCGTGTTTTTAGTGTTTACCGCGGAATAAATAAATCATAGTTTATTTAAAATGTATTGCACTTTTTAGATTATGATTAAATCTTCTAAATAACTAGCCATATTTTTTATAGTAGTTTTAATATTATTTAGTCCGGCCATGATCCCACCGCCATATTGGTATTATCGTTAGCCACACCTACCTACGCCGTTTTTAATACACACGTTAATATGCTCATAGCTTCTCCATAGATTCTAACTCGATGGGTAAAACCTTCCGAGTACGTGTAGAATTTAAAGTCAAATTTTACCATTATGATGACAGATTTGACATTTCCTCGCCGGTGTTGCCATATCTTAAAACTGAAGTAAGCTCTTTTAAATTAATAAACCTACAACGTTACTGAATCTGGCATTGCGTAAAATAAATCTGGGGAAAGTGTACATGTTTAATGGAGATCTGGAAATGTGTTCAATATATCATTTAAATTTCCGTTTTCATACCTGATTTTTATATTTTAGAAAAAGAAAATCAAACGTGTGCCGATCCAACCCAATTCAGATGCAACAACGGCCAATGTATCAACTACAATTTGGTCTGTAACAAAGTATCTGATTGCAGCGATGACTCTGACGAACCTTTACATTGCAACGTGGATGAATGCGCCAAAGTCGAAATACACCAGTGTGGGCATAAATGCGTTGATACACCAACGGGATACTATTGTGAATGTAACCAAGGATATAAGTAAGTAAATACGACATTATTTTATTAGATATACGGTATCATTTGAACAGTTAATCGTTGAACAGTTTATATTTACACTTATTTTTACAAGATTTTAAAGAAATTATAAACTTTTTACAAAGAATATTGGTTTTACACTATTTTTGTAGAACTTGACAACTTTTTAGAAGATTTTTTGTACCTACCAGGATTTTTTGTAAGAGTTTACACATTTTACAAATTTTTTCAGGTTTGACAGAAAATCATTCTTGTTTTGACCACAAAAATTGATATTTTAACGTTTTTGTGGGATATGGTGCACATTTTACATTATTTTAATAAATTTTTTAATTGTTACCACAAAATTTGTTCTATAGTTTTTTTTTAATTAAGTTTATACTTTTTAACTATAATTATAAAACTATAGCTACCAATTACGTTAGATAAGGTTATTTGAGTGAGCTAGATCAGGTGATTAGATGAATTTGGTAATCTTTGTTTAGGATGGATTAAGTTTTTTTACGTCTTATAAAGGAAGAAATCTGCAAACAGGCACCTGCAACCCAGGTAGTGTTGGGTTTCTATCCCCATGTCGGTTCTGTGCCAGGGAGGAGTCTCCAGGGGCGTAATCTTAAACCATTTTTATAGCCACCGCTTCGACATGATTGACATCAAATTACACCTATCCTGTGTCCTCCCCTGCTATCACCCTATTCCCATTCTCATGTGGCACACCCATTTCACGGAAAACGAGACCTCTGTTTTTCACACATCGTCGCTCTTTCTCTATCTCTCTCTTGTTGTCATTTCTCAGCCAAGAACGATCAGTACATAACTCTGTAGAACTCTGCTCGCCTCAAAAACTCATGGCGAGTTCCCTCCCCTCACGTTTTTTGGAGGAGAGCAGCTCCTTTATAAACTTGTGCACTCTTGAAAACTATTACCCATCCTGCACCATCATTTCCACCATTTCTTACTTGTGTTACAGTGTCTACGAGACTACAGTAACAGCATTGTTCATACTGCGACCTCCCGAACATGAAACGGTAGTTATGGCCTAACATTTGCGTTAGGTAATAATCCACATCGAGTTTTCCACCATTCTTACTGCATTGGTTCAATCGAGACTTTCCTTTAAGCCAATCTCGCAGCACTTATACCAGCAAATATATTATACCATAACTTTCTTGAAACTGGAGACCAAGAAATCGAAAATTAAAGACGTTTCCCCGGGTAAAGCTCCAGGTTTTGACGGCATCCACCACGAATTCATACTGAATTGCAGGAAATACACAAAAACCTGGCTATCACATTTCTTCACAAACAATTCAGAGCGACAGAGTCCCACGGGAATTGCAACACTCAAAAGTCATAGCAATACTAAAACCGTGTACACCAGCTGACCACCCAAAAAGCTATTGACCAATTGTTCTACTGTCTATAATGTATAAACTACTCGAAAGACTAATTTTTAACAGAATAAGCCCAACAATTCTCAAAGCTATACCAATTGAGCAAGCCGGTTTTAGACCAAATTGAGGTTACACAGATCAGGTGTTATCTCTCTGTACTTACATAGAGGCCGGCTTTCAAAGAAAACTAAAGAGTTCTGCTGCGTTCATAGATCTGTCAGCTGCTTTCGATACCATCTGGCGAGAAGGAATGATTTATAAACTCTTATGCACTATTCCTTGCAAATTCACCACTAGATTAATAGAAAATATGCTCATAAGGCTCGGTACTCAAACCACTGCTTTTTAGCCTTTACATCGCAGACATGCCGACGACAACATTAACAAAGTTTGGCTATGCTGATTATTGGGCTTTACCAACCCAAACAAAGTCACTAGTAGAAGTTGAAGAAATTCTTACGGAAGACCTAGAGGTTATGGGAAATTACTTTCAAAAATGGAGACTTCCGCCCCAATGCCTCGCAAGACGGAAGTAACGGCTTCCACATAAACAAAAATCTGCTTACCAAAGAAAATAGCAAGAACCTTAGCAATACGGCGCTGCCGATTCATAACTACATAGAAAATGCAACCAAAAGTCGACTGCGCTCCAGAAAATCTCGAATACAAACTGTAGAATCAGCCGCAGCAACAGGTTCAACATGAGCACTAAATGGATCCATGAATGGTCGGCAGCTCAACCAAATACAGCCATACCTTGGATCACAGAGACACCTCCTGGATTTGACTACCACGTAAGACCTGGTGCACACTTCATGCAGCTACGGCGATGTCCAATCTAGCAAGCACATAACGGAGGAGTGCCACCAGCGAGTCTACGAGGGTAGTTTACAAGACTTCCTGTTTGCGAGGATCGAGTCGATTAACTATATAAACAACCTCGACGTTTGCCTATAAACTGGGCATGATTTAACTTTTATATCGAGTCAATTTTAACGTTTATTGTAATATTGTAGATGTGTCAAAATGCCATACGCTAAATGAAATAAATCGCAGCACCTTCTTCCTCCTCGCCAGTGTCTAGTCCACTATGACTGTAAACCCTGGTCCCCTCACATGTTAACAGATGTATAGGAACACAGAAGGTGAGCCGACGCTGACACAGTCATGTATGCACATGCTACCCGCAGCAGACTAGTTCTGTCTACGCGTATTATGAGCTTTTTGTAGATCGGTGTTTCTACTGCCCCACTCCAAACTGAAAAGCTTAGAGGACAACGTGTAGTGTTAAGGTTTTCTGAGTCCAGAATTCGAAAATTTGCAGTGTTTGCGCTTTCTGGGTAGTTTGTTCGCAAAAATCACGAATAATTTTTGTTTTAGCCCAAGGTCCTCATTTGTTGACTTTGTACTCTGTGTTTTATCCAAATGGGTACAATTTTCATATTTTATCTTTGGTTTATCTATGCTTGAAGTATAACGAATATTATCATTTTTTTTAATACATTTTGTTTGTTTTAGGTTACTGGACGACGGAAAAGCTTGTGCTGATATAGACGAATGCATAGAAAAACCGGGTGTATGCTCTCAATATTGCTCGAACACACCTGGTAGTTACTATTGCAAGTGTAACGAAGAATACTATGAAAGGGAATCCGATGAGCACACTTGCAAACGAAAAGACAACATCACACCATGGGTTATATTCACCAACAAGTATTATGTCAGAAATATGTCAATTGATGCTCATATCTACAATTTAGTACACCAAGACTTGATGAACGTTGTAGCTCTCGACTACGATTTAAAAGATCAAAACATTTATTTCTGCGACGTAACTGCCAAGACCATATTTAGAAGTGCTTTTGGAAGTAAAGTTAAAGAAGCGGTGATACGGCATGACTCTCACGGGTTAGAAGGAATTTCCATAGATTGGATAGGCAGAAAAATATATTGGTTGGATAGACACTCCAAGAATCTTGATGTTGCTGAACTTGACGGAACAAATAGAAAAACTCTTAAGACTAGTATACAAGACCCAAGAGCTGTAGTTGTTCATCCTGGTACTGGATATTTGTACTTATCTTCTTGGCACCTGCAAGCTTTTATTGGTAAAATAGGAATGGATGGTTCAAACTTCACCAGGATTCTTACATGGGAAAACGACATTGCCTGGCCAAATGCCCTTACTATCGATTTCTTCACCGACAGATTGTACTATGCTGACGCTCATCTAGACTACATTGCTCATTGTGATTTAGAGGGCAGAAACAGGCATATTGTTATTTCAGGCAATGCTGTACCACACGTTTTCGCTCTAACACTTTTCGACGATTTTATATACTGGACAGATTGGAATTTGAAAGCCATTAGTAGATCGAATAAATTCGATGGCAAAGGACTGCAGATTTTAAGAAACACCACTCACAAACCATACGACATCCACATCTTCCATCCTTTAAGGCAGCTTCCTTACTTTAATCCATGTGCAACGAACAACGGTGGATGTTCTCACTTATGTTTAATTGCTCCTCCACCAGCTTCCAGTTACCTCAACATCGACGGTTATGGAGATGAAGGGCAAACTACCTTCGCATGCGCCTGTCCCAATCAGTTCTACTTGGCTAGCGATAAGAAAACTTGCATCGCGAATTGTACGGATGGTCAATGGCAATGTAAAGGACGTGATGAGAAATGTATTCCGTGGTTCTGGCAGTAAGTATGCGTTTTATTTTTAAACGTTATATACGGTACATTTTTATTTATTATCTTTAAATAATTATTTTATTCCTAATTTTTCGTTTTTTTTTTGTTATTTTCTTTTTTTTTACATTTTCTAATAGTTGACGTTGTGAAGTTTTCTTACAATTAACAACTTCTTTAATTATTATATTTCTATTTCAAGTTTTTAGCAATTTCTTATGACCCTTGTATAGATTATGTCATTTTAACGTTGGTAGAATTGTTAACACTTGCAGCTTGCTAGGGAAGCTTCCCTCCCACTTCTCTAGTAAACGTGGTAGGAGAAGGGTGTGCAAAATGACATAAATTTTTAAAAAACCGAAAATTTTACTTAAAGAAAACATTTTTTAAACAAAACTTGGATAGAACACAAACTAAAGTATTTGAAACACTTCAGACAAGTTTTTAACAAAATAGGAGAAAATATAAACTTTTAGCCAAACATATAAAAATTCTTCTTCTTTATGTGCCGTCTTCTACCGAAGGTTGGCGACCATCATACGATAGGTTTCTCTGTTTTGTGCCGCATGAATTATGTTCGCAGCTTCTGGTATTTGAAACCATTCTCTCAAGTTTCTCAGCCAGGATTTCTTCTTTCTTCCCAAACCTCTTCTACCTTCAATCTTGCCTTCCACGATAAGCTGTAGCAGACTGTACTTATCATTACGGAACACATGGCCCAGGTATGACGCTTTCCTCCTTTTAACAGTTGTTAACAATTCCACCTCTTTACCCATTCGTCTTAATACCTCTGTGTTGGTCACTCTGTCTGTCCAAGGTATTCTCAGTATGCGTCGATACAGCCACATTTCTAGAGCCGCTAACTTCTTTATAGTTGCTGCTGTTAACGTCCACCCTTCTACGCCGTAAAGTAGCGTAGAGAGTACGTAGCATTTCGTGGCGCGCCATCGGAGGTTAATGCTTAGGTTGCGGTTGCTTAAAAGCTTTCTCATTTTGATGAATTTGGATCTTGCTATTTCAATTCGGATCTTAATCTCTACTTCTGGGTCCCACTTGTCATTTACTGTATATCCCAGATATTTAAATCGGTGTACTCTTTCAATACGTTCGTCTTCAATATGCAGGTCGATATGTTGAAATTTTTTTTTACTGATCACCATAAATTTAGTTTTCTTTCTATTGATCTTCAGTCCAAATCGGCTGCCAGTTGTATTAACTCTATGTAGCATCATCTGTAAATCTTCGATGTTATCGGCCAGTATAATAGTATCATCTGCATATCGAAAATTACTTATTGGTACGCCATTAATCTTGATGCCCTCATTGTACTCTTCTAGTGCCTCTAGAAATATTTGTTCCGTGTACAGGTTGAAAAGCAGTGGCGAAAGAATACAGCCCTGTCTTACCCCTCTAGAAATGGTTATGTTTTCACTCACCATATGTCCATTCTTCATGTGGGCTGTTTGATTCCAATATAGATTTTTTATAATCTGGATGTCCTTAGTGTCAAGTCCTGAAAGACGTAATAGTTCTATGAGTTTGTCATGTTTGATAGTATCGAATGCTTTCTCATAGTCGATAAAACAGACGTAAACATCTTTCTGTTGATCCAGGCATTTTTGAATCAAAACTTGTATTGCAAAGAGGGGTTCTCGAGTTCCAAAACCGCATCTAAAACCGAACTGTGTTTTACTTATGCTGTGTTCTAATTTTGCTCGTATTCTGGAATGGATAATACGCAAAAATACTTTAAGGGTGTGGCTCATTAAACTTATAAGGCGATATTCACTACACGTCTTAGAATTATATTTCTTGGGAAGGGGCACAAATGTAGATTTCAACCAGTCCGATGGAATTTGACCAGTATCGTATATCTTATTAAACAGTTCCAATACTACATTCAGGTTGTTCTCGTTAAAAACTTTTAAGAATTCGACTGGTATTTCATCGCATCCTGTTGCTTTCCCATCTTTCGTTTGATCTATAGCTTTTATCACCTCACTTTTCAATATTTTTGGTCCATTCAGATCAAGAGTGTTCGTAGAAATATGACGATAATCCGTAAACAAATCTTTTATGTAGATTGCCCAAGTCTGTAACTGTTCTTCTTTATCTACAATAAGTTTATTGTTCTCGTCTATTAACCTACCAAACTGTTTTTTCTTGTAAGTATAAGTAAACTCCTTGATTTTTTTATGCATGTTAAAACTATCGTGTCTTCGTTCTAGCTCTTCTATCTCTTGACATTTTTCTTGCAACCATTTCTCTTTGGATTCTTTTATCTTTCTGCTGACAGTTCTATCCAGTTCTTTATATTGTTCGGGATTATTCTTATTTTCCCTCCTTCTGTCCATAAGGTGTAATATTTCATCTGTCATCCACTCGTTCTTCTTCTTCCGCTCGGAGTCACCAATTACTTCTTTTGCACCGTTGCATATAGCGTCCCTTAAGTTGATCCAGTCTCTTTCAATATCATCAGTGTTGGTTGTTAAAGCAACATTACTATTAATGCTATTTGTAAGCTTGGCTTTTATCTCAGGATTTCTAAGTTGATCCATATCTAATCTTTTGTTATTCTGTTTCTGGATTATGGTTTTTAGTCTTACTCGTAATTGGGCTACAAGAGGATTATGATCAGAGTTTATATCAGCTCCAGGATATGTTTTGGCTGATATTATTGCGTTACGGAATCGTTTGTTAATTGTTATGAAGTCTATCTGATTTCTAACGATGTACCCAGACCTATCCTGTGGTGACTTCCAAGTGTACAATCTTCTTACTGGTAGCTTAAACCAAGTATTTGTGATAATTAAGTTTTTCTCCTGGCAAAACTGTATTAGTCGATCACCTCGTTCATTTCTTGTTCCCAACCCATACTTGCCAACTACGTCACTGACTTCGCCTTTTCCTATTTTGGAGTTGAAATCTCCCATTACCATGGTTATGTCTTGTTTCTTTAGGTTTTTTATGATGTCGTCTAACTGTTCGTAAAACTCTTCAACTTCTTCATCCGTACTCTCCGATGTGGGAGCATAAACCTGAATTATATTTATGTCTAGAGGGTGCGCACTTAGCTGGATCAACATGCAGCGTTCTGAATATGGAATAAAATTTTTTATATGTTTTCTGATGTTATTATTTACTAGAACCGCTACTCCATGCCTATGGTTGACATCTTCTTCTCTGCTGCCTGAAAAAAATATTGTTGCATCCTCCTTCTCGCACTTACCATTACCTGGCCATCTTATTTCACTCATCCCCAGAATATCAATTTTGAGCCTCTTCATTTCATTAATTGCGTTGTTTAGTTTTCCAGTCCGATAAAGAGTTCTTACGTTCCATGTAGCTATCTTAATAGTATTTTTTCTGATATGTTTATTTGTTTTATCCAGTCGCATATTTCCCACGCAAGGCCTGGTACCCACCGTTGCGTGGCCAGTCTCTGATTTCACATCGTCCAGCTCGGAAACTCGACGACGCCGGTCGCTAATCGGGTCGCATGGCATATCATCTTTAAAACTCCTACTCGTCATGATGGCTTTACTAGGGATATATAATGTGGTAGTCATCCCGTGGCTTTCCACATCCTTATGCCATTGACTACTTAATAGTTCGTCCGCCTTCGAAGCCGATTTCTCAACTCCAGGACAAAAAGGTGCCCTACCACTTACCAACTCATCCGCCCGAAGCCGTTGGTCAGTAAGTGTGGGATTGCTTATACCGGCAATCGCTCGGTGGAATTTTCGCCATATCTGGCTACCCTCACTTAGTTTAGCCTGCAGACCAATGCAGTTGCCCGGGGTGTGGCACGTGGAGCCATAAGTGAGAGTTAGCTGTCTTAAGAGGACCAGTTATCAAGAACCATCTCCCGTCTATGACGCTCGATGTGGTCGTTCCGATAAAAGGTGCTACCTCTATAACACAACTCTACACCCATATAAAAATAAACAAAAAAAATTTCGTATAATTTTGGAAGCAGTTTTATATTTCTGTAACAAGTTCTGTTATAATTTCCAATATCTTAATTTGTTTACCACTTTTTTAAAGATTTTTTGTACCTTTCAAAATTTCCCAAACAAAAATGACAAAATGTTTTCATACATAAATACCTTTCAATAATAAAATGTATATACTTTTAGGTGTGATGGAGAGAAAGACTGTAAAGACGGTTCCGATGAACCTGCAACATGTCCTCCACGCCAATGTAGAGCTGGTTCCTTCCAATGTAAAAACCTCAACTGCACACCTTCTGCGACTATTTGTGACGGCACCGATGATTGCGGGGATAATTCTGACGAACAGAATTGTGACAAAGAATGTCCAGAACTGGAAATAAAATGTAAATCCAACGGCAGATGTATTTTGTCAAGCTGGCAATGCGATGGAGATGCTGATTGTAAAGATGGATCCGACGAAGATCCAGAAATTTGCCATAAACGAGCTTGTGATCCCGAAATCGAATTCGCTTGCAAGAATGGCCGTTGTATACCGAAATTGTGGGTTTGTGACGCTGATAATGATTGCGGCGATGATTCAGATGAACCTGCCTACATGTGCCGACAAAGGAATTGTACCACCGGTTGGCAACGTTGTCCTGGAAGAGCTAACTACCGTTGTATTCCAAAATGGCTCTTCTGTGATGGCAAAGACGATTGCAGAGACAACTCAGATGAACTACCAGAAAACTGCCCACAATGCAATCCTGAAACTGATTTTAAATGTAAAAATAACAGGTGTATACCGAAGCAATGGAAGTGTGACTTTACAGATGACTGTGGAGATGGATCTGATGAACTTGAAGAACAGTGTAAGGGATCTTACAGAGAATGCTCAGAATCAGAGTTCAGATGTGGTAATGGAAAATGCATTTCTTCCCGATGGAGGTGTGATCACGAAGACGATTGTGGTGATAATTCCGATGAAAGCGATTGTAATGGATTCCAATGCAAGAATGGTACTTTCCAATGTGCTTCAGGACATTGTATTGCCTCGTATTTCCGCTGTGATGGCGACAGAGATTGCAGAGATATGTCGGATGAAAAGAACTGTCCTCCTAGGTATCCTGGAGGAAGATACTGCCCAGAATCCCGCTTCGAATGTGATAATCATCTATGTATTAGTTCAGCTGATATTTGTGATGGAGCTGATGACTGCGGTGATGGTTCAGATGAGTCTCCACTTCTATGTACCAACTTTAACTGTGATACTTTAAAAAGATATCAATGTGCCAACCATAAGTGCATTCCTAGATACCAATTGTGTGACGGTATCGATAATTGTGGAGATGGATCTGATGAAAATAATATGACTCTTTGTGCTACCAAAATGAAACCATGCGATAGTCTTACCGAATATAAATGTGCCAATAGAAAATGCATCGACAGAAAACAAGTTTGCGATTTTGCGGACGATTGTGGTGATAGTTCTGATGAGCTTGGATGTCATCATAATGATGTTTGTTCTGATGCTACTAAAGGAGGTTGCGAACATCACTGTATGAACCTAACCGATGGAGGTTACATCTGCGCTTGCTATTCAGGTTTTATTATATCTCAAGAAAACCGGAAAGTATGTTTAGATGTAGATGAATGCGCTACTGGTACTCACCATTGCTCACAGATATGTATAAATTTGAATGGAACCTACGGTTGTGCTTGCAGAGATGGTTTTAGACTGTCAGATCAACTATCGGGTGTTTGTAAAGCAGAAAAAGAAGAAGTTAGCTTATTGGTGGCCAACGGAGGTGAAATAAGATCGTTTGAGTTGAAGCGCAGAGAAGTTGAAGGAGTAATAACTGAAGAACAACGTATTGATGCTGTTGATTATAGTCCTAAACAACAGATGATATTCTGGGCTGATAGTAGACAAAAAACTATTAAACGGTCCTACATGATCAATGCTCTTAATGGTGAAGTTAAAGCGGGATTCTCTCAAGATTTAGAAATTAAAGGCAATTCTAAACCTGTCGCTATAGCAGTAGATTGGGTAGCTAATAATCTTTACTGGACGGAAATCGATAGAAGCGCTAAACCGAAAGGACGAGTAATGGTAGCTAAAACGGACGGAAGATACCGTAGATCTCTTATTAATGTTGGTTTAGAAAATCCATCGTCACTTGTAGTTGATCCTTCTCTTGGCAAGATGTTCTGGACAGATTCTGGTTCAACACCGAAGATAGAAGTGGCATGGATGGATGGTTCCAAACGAAGAACTCTCATTACGGATCAAATTCGTCATCCAACTGGCCTAGCTATCGATTACTCAATGGATCACGCGGTTTACTGGGTAGATACGAAGTTGAATATTATTGAAAGAATGAATCCAGACGGTAGCAATAGGATGACTGTGATAAGAGGAGATATATTGAAGCATCCTATATCACTGGATGTATTTGAAGCCAACATTTATTGGATAACAAAAAACACAGGCGAGTTAATTCAACAAGATAAGTTTGGACGAGGGGTTCCAGTGGTAATTCAGAGAGATATGCAGAACCCGTCTAGTGTTAAAGGTAAAAAATTAAATTTGTGAAAACACTAACGTATTTTTAACTCTGTTTCTCTTTCTAGTTTACCATCAACTCAAGTATAACGAGTCCATAACAGATCCTTGCTCTAACAATCACTGTTCTCATCTTTGTTTGGTAGTTCCGAATGGCCACCGATGCTCCTGTCCTGATTCTGCTACTCCTAGTCAGAAAATCAAGGCAGATATTGTTTGTGACGCTGCTTCAGAAAGGGAGCGACCTCTACCGAGAATATGCAAATGCGAAAACGGCGGATACTGTCAAGAAGTTGACGATAGCCAAGAACTGTCTTGTAAATGTTTGGAAAATTACCAGGGCGAATTCTGTGAGATCCATTCAGAGCATAGCACAGCTGGACAAGCAGCCAATACTACTGCTATCATCGTTCCTATTGTAGTTGTATTGTTAATATTGGGTGCAGCTACCGGTGTCTACTTCTTCATCAGAAAGAGACCTTTGTAAGTATGACATTTTAATAATTTTAAAGCGGTTAAGTCAAACGAAGTTTTGTGAAAATTGGCTCATGTCATATTAATTTGAAGGTTAAAAAATATTGGTTCTCGTTATTAGCTTATAATATATCCCTACTCCGTGAAATGAAACAATGGTAGTCTGTAGTATATGCAAGTAGCTTGATTTTTAAGAAGTTTACAATCAGACTTCCGATTTTTAATTCAGGATTTAAATCCTCACCGATCCAGCGGACCAGGTGAGCTTTCGACTCGTTTTTGGCTCCTAAAGTAAAGTGTTTATCATATTTTGGCATTGCAATGCTAATAGCTAAAGTGTCCATTTAACATTACATAGCCAAAGTCTGGCAACCTCCATAGAAATACATATACTTTTTAATAGTTTTATCTTAACAAAAATGTGAAACTTTTTACCCCTAAAATACCTAAGTTACTCAACGACATATCACTACAGGTCAAGACTTGGAAGCACACTTTAGTACATTTTTTTAATACTACAATTTTACCTCTTGTCCGAAAAGACAGTACGTGTATAGTTCAATATTTTATATTGGTTAATAGTATGTGTAGATTCAAACGCATCCCCCCGAAAATCAGACACACCCTTCTGAAAATATTCCTGGCAGTACCCATCTCCAATAATTACTTATATGTAAAAATGAAGAAAATAATTTCTTTTCTTTTCAGCAGCAAGGGATCTGGATTAGGCAGTCTAGCAAGTAGTCAAAGTGTATCGTTTAGACAAGGAACCAACGTAGAGTTCGGTCCAAATTCATTTAACAATGGCGGTGGTCCTTCTGAACCGGTGGATGTAGCCTATAATTTAGATGCAATCAGTGGCAATGTTGGAAACAAAAACCGAGATTTCCACAATCCAATGTATGATGCTGTACAGAATAATCCGGATACACTTCCTAACGGAAGTGGAGGTAAGCTTAATATTTTATTGTTAAAGTTTTGAAAGTGACCTTCCTCCTTTATTTCTTTGAGCTATATTATCCCAGTATTCCGTAAGGGGAAGTCTCCATCAAGTTAGTCGAGTGCAGGTATCTCTTTTCTTGGGATTAAATCCAAATTGCGAACTAAAATTGAATGTTCATTAATTCTGTTTTGAATTCTTCGATTGGTTTGACCTATGTAAAATAAATTGCACAGCTAATTTCATAAATTCCATGATGTTCGTTGGACTTTTGTCTTTAGTTGTTTGAATAAGAGAAAATTTGGATTAGGCGTAAAGATTATCCCTATTCCTTTTGATTTGGGAACTTTATCTATTTTATCAGTGACACCCTTGTTATAGGAATGCAAATCTTTGGTATCGCCAGTGTCTGATTCTTAAAATAGACTAGGTGATTTTATAGTGTTATGCTAACATTTCTCATTTAACATATGTCTTTCCCTTTTTAATTACTCTGAGAGCGTCTTTTTGTCTTCTCTTTACAACTTTGTTTGTTGCTGCTTGAAACTCATGTGCATTAAGTGCTGCAAGAAACGTTTCCGTGAGTTTGGCCAGTAGAAGTTGCACTTTGTAAAGTTTGTCAAATCCGGGATCAGTTTTTTTGTCTGCACTGTATTATCAACTAAATGTAAATTGCCTAGTAACCAAGCGAATCTATTACGTGACATAGCCAAACTGATGAAAGGGTCTCAAAAATAATTAAAATATGTCGCTCTGTCAACACCGAACGTCCGCTTCAAATGAGTGCTTGACTAATGCATGTAATGAATGATATGCAGTCAATGTGATTCAATCAAATCGGTTCTAAACTGGTTAGACACTTAAAATATAATAGGCAACCAATTTTACACACTGGTATGACTGTAAAACTGCTGCAAAGTTTAAAAGAAATGTTTGTATACAACATGTGGCCTCAGCATACAGTCATCAAAGGGTTAATTTTTGTAAGGATGAATCAATCTCCATCTTCAAACCAGAACATTCTCGCCCTGGGACCAAATGCCGAATGTATCTTCAACGTACCCTATGCAACATGTCGATTTGAGCGTTGATGAAAAAAATCTCGGGTTTTAACATATTCCATAAAGATATGCCAATTAGTTTAGAGAGTGGGGAGCTCATTGGAGTATCTTTGCTTTATTTTCAGAATTGATAATAAAATAAGTGTTGGGCATGCAATGTTTAGTGTGAGATAAGTGGTGGTTATCATTTTATTGAAAAAATCCATTTAGGATTCTCAATGAATGATCTTTACATGTACCTCCTCTTTCTGGTTATTCTATTATTTTCAGGAAGTTTACCCATCTTCTAACAATAGTGTCTTGTTATTGTTAATAAAATGAAAATAATGTTTATAAATATATCTTTTTCCAGCTCTCTACGAGGTCTCCGACTTACCAAAAGCAAAAGGTGATACATTCCTAGAGCCCCCTAGCGCAGTAATAGCGCCATCTAGCATCAAACACATGTCATCTCCTAACGTTCAAGTAAAACACAGAGAACTTGATCCGGCAACCCAGGATACGGGTAAAGATACTCAAAAACTTGTAGAGGAAGACTGCTGATATCAATTGAAAATCCCAATCTTTAATATAGCATACAACTACAATAGATAATATCAACAAAAGTGAACTTTTTGTATTATAAAGTGACGTTACTTGATTTTATTGACAGGTAAACATTGTTTTTGTATCATTTTACTAAAACAATGTAGAATTAAAAATCGTTTTCTGAGTTTTGTAATGATAGTAATGTAGAATTAGTGGAATGATATAAAAGCGCGACGTCTAGACTCTTGAGTTTAGAAGTTATTTAGTCAATATCATAATTTATTTTTTCAATGTTTGTGGATAAGTCAATGTTGAGAAATATATTTTTTTATTGAGAATGTAGTGAGACGAATTTTTCATGAACTGGAACTAGACCTGTAGGACTGTTGCATATTGGGATTCAAGTGCCATTGAAAATTGAAAGAAAATGAACAAAAATGACATTCTAGTTCCATTCTTATGAGAAATGATTAAATACATTGTAATTTTCCAGTAGTACGGTCGTCTGTGAAATTGTGAAATGATTTACAAAAATTTTGACAACTATTTCGGGCTATTGAAAACATTTTGTTTACATCGTTTCTGTGGTATGTAATTTTATTCTTTTTAGTGTTGTAAATAGATGTAAACATGGTTTAAAATAACAATGTACATATTTTAATATCAATTTTAATATTTTACCTACTAGGTTTTAATTTTTAGTCAATTATTGGAAAATATATTGACAGTTTTTGGAATTTGTAACAACAACAGATACCTTTCCGTGTAAAAAATTATATTCTTAGTTCGATATTTTATGTTATGCGATTTGCATTGGTTCTTTGTTCGTCTTAAAAACTCGTACAATATAATTTAAAAGTCGAAAAAAGTCGAAAGCTTGACTTAACTTTATGTCTTTCAGCTTAAGCGTCCATCATTAGCATATATTCGATCAATGATGTATTCTTGATGATTTCTAGTAGTACTACAAACTACCAAGTAGTTTTTCATTCCTTTATAATGGAGAATGTTGTGACTGTTAACATTTAACTCTCTAATAAGTTTCTTATTCTTATTTCCAAATTAAAACAGATTTGTCTTTGTTGCATATTTTTGTTAAAATATCACACGTAGTGTAAATACGACTAACTTTACATTTGATTTGTATATAAATTATATTGTTTAATACTACGATTTTGTTACTACACATTAATACAACAATCGAATAATTTTCTTCTTCAAAATTTCTTGCAGGTGACCAATGACATTTCTACGTCATCACAGTGCAACCAACTGTTTATAAAATTTCCTAACCAAGATTTTAGAATGATTTTATTTTGACTTATTTGCATCATATTTTCAATAAAATAATGTTTTATTGAAATTTGATACACAAAAAATAATAATTTACATTCAATAGTTTAGAAAGAGCACATTCATCACAGAAATTAGGAATTATTGGTATTGTTTCCAGAGTGACCATGTATTTTTATTAATAAGACAAAGTTTTGTGTAATATCAATAAATCTAAAATACTGTTATCAGTAATTATTTATTGTATTTCGTAAACAAAATTCCATAAAAATTAAATATTCATTGTAAGGAGCTTGTGTCTTCATTAAATCAATATGTGAAAAGGCCGTGATAATTGACAGCCTCTGAGGTATCATAAGTCGTAACAGAAATTACTAGTGAGTTCTTGGTGTAACTTAGTTTTTCTAAAAGTCTAGAATGTTAACCTTCCAGCGGTCACGGCCTTCGTACCAACAAGAATGGTCGCGCTTATTTCCTAGATACGCCAAACGCTAATTAGTTATTTTAAGATGTAGATAATGAAATATTCTAATAATAATACAAAATATATTCGGTGGTACACTGTATTTCTTAAAAATTTTTATTGAATTTTATTAAAATTAACAACGGTGTCATAAATCCTAGATGTCTCCTATTATTATAGATATTGCACATTACATATATTATTGTATCGCAGTTTTGCAGTCTTGACAAATATGCTTTGAATGTTCCATACAGATGAATTTTTGACAAATTTCACAGCTGAAACGCGTATCCTTGACCGTTTATCATTTTGACGAGGCTTACATCTTCTTTTACTGGCTGTGGTCTCATCTACTGTCTCGATACCTAATTCTGCTTTTCTTTTCGAAATTTTTTCTTTGAGCTCATTTTCAAGGGAGTATTGTGTTCTTCGTTCGACGTGTCCTTTCACCAGAGCATTTGAGAGTAGTCGAAAGTATTTTTTTCTAAGTATTTTTTCGCTATTATTGGTGGAATAGATTATATAACTCTTGGTCGCGGCTACATTTAACATGGAAAAAAATACTAGCATCGGCGATCTTCTGGTGTTCCTGGCAACATTGCAAGAAGTACAATGTTTGTCTACTGTATCTACACCTCCCTTTGACCCTTTGTCTTGTTATAGAATGTTATAATCTCGGGTTTCTTTTGGTCATCTGTTTCTTCGTCCATTGCTGCGTCATCATGTAGGCTTGAAATTAATATTACGTTTTTATAGCACTTAGGCACGTAGGAAACAAGAGTTATGTCGTTATATTATGTCTCTCATTAAAAATAGAAATCTTCTCCAAGTCATCACTGTTTTGAAATCATCCATTCTCCATAGTTCTTCAAGGTTAACTCGATTACCATGGTAAATGCCCGCCAAATAAAGCAAGCCCAAAAGGGCTGTTATTTTTAGTTTGTCAGTATCCCTGGCATCTCTTGGACGACAATAATTAGATCTTACAGAACTTAAGTCCTTATTTGTGAAGTTCACGATGCTCTCATTTCTTCTTCTCACTTTCCTTCTTCTGCTCTTCTCAGTTCCAAATATTAACGATGTCTATGAGATTCTTAGCTGGTCCAATGACCTCAGGGAAGTAATAGTAATATATTGCGAGGTGGTCACTTACTTTTTTTGTTTGGATTTTTTTTTTGCCAAATCCATGAGTCGAAAACTTTTCCATTTTTCTTTAGATGAGCTCGTTGGAACTGTCAGCTTCGTCTTCACAATCAGACTCAGTATCGTCATCACGTTCCGAAACATGTTCCTCTTCGTCTGTATCACTATTATCCATACGTATATCGTCATCCGACTCAGCAACCATTAAATTTGTAACAGCTTCTATATCAATGGGATATAGAAGCTGTTACAGCTTCTATATCCCATTCAAAATTGAAAAATCTTCTTTTTATCCGCCATTTCTAAAATAAAATAAACAAAATGGAACTAATTGTCACAAATGGCCGCGTGTATACGAGAGATACAGACCTATTATATCAACGTAGAAAGTTTTCAACACAAAAAATGCATGAAATAGTAATATGTTATCAATATTACAATAAGAATAATGTAACTATAACAAAAAAAAAACAGATGTTATAAAAACTTACCTAAAAAGTAGCGCGTATATCTGAAATACAAATCCAAAATTCTCAGCAACGTACTATCCCTTGACAGGTTATTTGTGCACTGGAAGGTTGCTTTAGTAATGGAGTAGGAATAGCGAAAAGCACCCGATCGCAGCGCAGCTTAGGTAATAGATATTATACTAAATCTACTACCGTGTATCTACCACATCCGCGCGACCGCTGGAAGGTTAAGAATGTTAAGAAATTAGACAGGATGAAAATTTTGTCAAGTAATAATTGGTTTTGTATTTAAATCTAATTATACAAATTATTCATTGCAATTAATTATTTTTTATGTACATTTGCACCATAGATGTATATATTAACATTATATTGTAAATATTTACGTCTATGATTTGCACAGATAACTTAATAATATTAATCTTAACCTAACATTTCTTATACTTCATAATTCCCTATGTCAACTGTCAACTCCACACGAAAATGACAACGTCAAATTTGGGTGATTTGCACGATTATGTAATGTAATATACATGTAATATATCGAATATTACAATACGGTATATTATTATATCGTTGCTTGTAACGGATTTATATGAAAAGAGTTTGTATTAACCTTATCCAATTTAACGTTGACATTTTTGTATAGCGTTACCGATATGCCAGAATAGTGGAGAATATAGAAAATTTGAAAATGGTAATAAAGTTATTATTATAAATTCATCTCTCTAGATGTACATGATAAAAAAAAGTAACGACTAAAAATAAAAAATTATAATGAAGAAGTTTTATTAAATTTAAATACAAAACATACTGCTACTCTTGCGAAGTAGTAAACTGGGGTCACTTGGAACCTTTATGAAGAACAATCTTGAATGCAACATTTGAGTAGATTGTACATTCGTCTTGGCAACAATATAATCAATAGTTGGAGATCTTATTTCTGGGATTCCTAAATGTGTATTTATTCTGTGGTTTATAGTAGAAATGTACTTTTAATTCGTTTGATAAAACTTTTTCTTTAAAACGTTGTTTAATTGCGGAAAAAAAGTTTCTTCACTTAACTATCTATTTATTTTGAGGTTTTCCAATTATTTTCTGCAGCTTGTTGTAAAAATCTTCACTTTCTTCTTTTGGTGTCTTCTCTTCAGATGCATATATCGGTAATAAGTATATTTAATATGTAAAACGAATTTCAGTTCGATAAACGTTTCCTGATCTTTACTATTAAGACATTTTATAGCATATTATGATTTTTTCTAATTTGTAATCCTTTTTCGCATGTGTAACCTCTTTTCAGTTTTATTATAAGACAAGGACTCGGTTCTGGAAACCTGTTTGTCTTTCACGCTAGGTGCTAACCTGCCTGGAAACGCTCCTTTTATCTGTGTTTGGAACAAGCAATGTTCCCAAGAGTTGTTGCCTTATTAAGTACCCATTTCATCAGTGGTCAGTATCGTCACACCAGTTTATATTTCTTTACTTTTGGATTTTTATGATGTGCTTGTTTTCATATAAGGCTGATTGGTATTTTGCGTATAGGGTATTTGGTTTTAAGGTTCTAGATTGTACAAACTGATCAGTATATTGAAATAGAGTATGTGATTTTACATTATATTATAATATTTACAGATTCTTCAATAGGTATAAGGTTTTTGCTGTTACTGAACCAAATCCCAAGAACTATCTATATGTTTTAACCATTACATTTTATTTATTCTGCATAATATTTATTTATACTCACTGTGCAGCAAAAAGTAGCATACGTTGTTCGCATATTTCACAGACTAACATATATATGTAAATATTCTAAGTAGTTCTCATGTAAAAAATCAAAAACCTTTCCGTTTAATATTAATAACCTTTTGAACATTCCAATTTTTACGTCTATTAAGTGAAAAACACCGTCCAACGTTGTTGTAATGAAATTTCCTCTGAAACAAATCAGATGCTGTTTTATTTTAGTTTAAATTTTATTGAATTGTTATTTAATTCTATGATTTTATCGATAATAAGGAATATTTCTTTTGAGAGGCGATTGGGCTGAGTAATGAACATGTCTTTAATTTGTAAACTAGTCAGTATTCTTACCACCCGTTAATAAACGCTTGAGGCATTCTTGAACCTGCGAAAATCTCGAACACCAAATTATTTTGCCATAGAAAAAAATACAAGTAATGCAATCAAGTACATCAAATTACATTATCTTCCATAACCCTGTTATACTACTAAATTCGTGTTCACAAATGTTGGTATGTCAAAGATATTGAGCTATTTCGATAGTATTTCTAAGAAAATATGCTTGAGCATTGTTTTAGACTGTATTTCGAATTCCTATATACTTTCAAACAACATAACCTAGATTTCAATTTGAAAACTTCCTAGCAAAGTTTGAACTTATTTTTTAAGTGCAGAATGACAATTTCATAGTATAAAATTGATGTAATCTTATATATAAATGATAAAATGATATTTTTAACTTATGTACTCAAAAATTATGTCCTTAAGTCCTTTATTACATAAATATGTATATATTGTCACTTTTCTTCGTGTAAGAAATCGCTACCTTCAGGACGACATGTTACTACAACTAATTAATATTCCTATAAGCTCTTAGTGTTTTTAATGTTAATATTCTGTTTGTTTAATTTTACTATATCCGAAAATATCTTACTCTTATTGTGATTTCAACATATTTTTTGTTTAAATATTCCATATATTGAATTTCTGCTGCTCTTTTTGATTTATGTCTAATATGTTTTAAATTTCCGTTAACTTTCAGTTTAATTATGCATTATTCAGTATTTTATTATTTTAATAAATCTATGCTTAAACTATATGTCATTATTACGCCAAAAATCCTGATTGTATTTCCAGCTACTTAACTTCTTCCAATATACATATCAACCGATGTTCATTATTTTGCCCGTAAACCCTTCAAGAAAAGGGTAGCATTGAATGCTTGTAGACTAGAACTTATGACGTACTTACAGCATGAAGTTACCCCAAAAATAAAATATTCATTATGGTCTTGTTGCAACTATATGTAACTTTGTGTAAATATTTTGGGAGCAAAATTGTCTGTTTTACAGAAGATAATATAAAAATTGTTTATATAAATTGGTTTTATTTATTTTATGATTATTATCCTTGATATCCATATATTAAAAAGAAGAAAAATGTTGGAACTTTTATTACTTTTTTATACAATTTTCTATTATATGTCATGACAAATGGACTGATAGAAATCTGCGTGGATTCAATATATAAATCTAAGTATTTTCCTATAAGAACCAAGGGTGGGTCAAAAAGTATCCACAACATTCCATTACATTCGATTTTCTAAATACCTTTGTTTCTAATAACCTCAAATAATTAGTAATTGTCGACGTACTACTGCTCTATTAGATTCCATAATTAGCAATTGTATAATTCATTTCCTTTTACTTTTATAAAAACTTTACGGTGGGCTATAAATAACCCACTAAGTCCATTATGAAGATAGACAATCTGATTATTAATAAACTTACAAATGAATAATAATATGAACTTATCTCCCACATGAATTTTCCAAAAGTGCTTAAATCAATGACTTGGGTCGTTTTAAAAAAAAAAACGAAATGTTTAACTTCTTAAAAGCCATGATTTTGTATTCAAATCCTACTTTCAATTGTCTTGAAACAAGAATTTAAACCTGCAAATTACGTGACTGATTCTATTCCAAAGTAACATTTAATTATATTCTTAAACATAGAAAAAATTCGTTCCTGAAATTTTTTTTGACTTAGACCTTTTGGAATCCACCTCTTCAAATGTGTTTGTTCCTTATGATGTGTCACTGTTATGATATGACAGTTATCATTTTAGAGTGCTCGGTAGTTTACGGCTGACAACGTCGTAAATACGAATAAACAGTTACTTTGAATTTTTATTTCATATTTGAACTGCCTCTGCCATGGTAGATTATCGTTGCTCGCTTTTATATTGTTTAGCGCAGTTTAAAACATTTTTTTCACATATAGTGTATATGTGAAAAAGAAAACTGGAAATTAATAAAGATTTAACGCAGAAATAATTAGAAGTGGTACCAAACCTCTCTGACTAAATGACCAATGAGGTCACGTAAGTACTTTAGGCATTTAATTTGGTCTTTAGGCCTTTACTAAAGTAAAGTGCGTATGTAGAATTTGTTGTTCTATTATTGAAAGCCCTTTTGTGTTCTGCTATTCGTTTGTTAAAGGTTCTACCCGTTTGACCTATGTAAGTTTTTGAGCAGTCGCCACATGTAAGTTTGTATACACCATTGTGTAATTGACGCTCCAATTGGCAAATAAAATGCGAGTGTTTTTGCAACAAGATCAAAAGTGAAATTGTGCTTTCGAAGCAGTTGTTAGATATTGGAAATGGTAAAATCGCTATTGACACCTCGACCCGATTCATTTTATTATCCAGAGATCTGTGTTACTTAACAGACTCGAAAGAGGAGCTTATTGAACTTATTATGATACATTATTTAATTTTAAGGCGGTACGAAGTTGGGCGGGTAAGCTAGTTTTAATATAAAATAAAAAACAGTATCAATTCAGTTCCAAATAGAACAGATGCTTCATATATTTAACAATAAAATACACTAATTTTGATACACGTATAAATATGATAAATAACATCGGATATTATTTACATTAAAATTGTTCAACATTTGAATAATTAAAATAATAAGAATTTAGACACAAAAAATCCATTTAGAATTAAAAATATTTCATTTTCATTTTAATCAATAAGATCAGTGTACATTTTTACTATTAAAATTATAACAATTAATACAATACAGATTTAGGCGACAGATTGATCGCTGATCCATCAGTAATGAACACATTAACATCATTTTACTTCTGCAAATTTTAGTATCTATTGAACCATTATGTCTAACCATTCGCTTCCCTCGTTAGGTAGCCATAAAATCAGCTTTATTACTGAATAAAGTTGACTCTAACCGTGACAAACTATTCTGTTACCTCATTCATCAATTATTTTTTATTTTTTGCAGAACAAAAACATGCAATTTCGTATTCCAATTATTGTCATTAAGTATAATAGCAGGTGTTGGACGGCAAAACAAGCTTAAAACTCTAAAATAGTGAGAAAATATAAAGATAAATAAAATATATTAATAAATAATTATAAAAAGATGCACAATACTTTTGTTCTTTAAGTATAAATGTATAATAAATAAAATTAAGTTGAGGACTGGACATTAATAACGAGCTACATACGACAAAAAGACAATTGTATCTTAGTAAATAATGCTAAGTGAATTAAACATTCGGTTCTTGTCGAAGCAGAGTTGTACAAGTTGGTTAGGTGTTTTAACATTTTTATTTTTGTGTAATAACTTGGTTTTTAAACGATGACTAAAATTGATGCGTCAAAATTTTAGAAATAAGATACTGCTACGCCCTATGATCGGTGTGTTCAACGATCGAGTTCGAAGTAACGGCAGTTACTTCGAACTGCCGATTAGCTCAAGAGTGATCGCCGTCATAATATTCGTATTCAGCGACCTCCATGTAACGACTTTCGACCAATTTCGAATGAAAATAACATAAACCTTTAGGAGACAAGGTCCATCCTGGGCACCAGGTAGCTCGACGACCATCGTTATTATCATATTTGTATAGCACATAATTAAACTCATTCTAGCATATATTTTGCAAAATTTTCATTTTCTGTGCACTTTGGAAATGCATTTTTTTTATGCACAAAACGCAATTTTCATGAATGAACACTTCCCGGATCAAATGCAAAAATATTCACAGCTATTCAGCTTTCTGCGAAAAATTGGTAGGTGTAGTTCTTTGTTTCTTCATTTTTAAAAAACAACACATTAATCGAAGTTGTTGACAAATTGAATGATGGACAGAATGACGTATGACAGACAGAATGACGTATGCCAGACAAAGCTAGCTAGACCATTTAAAGTAAATATTGTCGTTTCACTTCTACCCACAGAACGACCCATATTTATCTTACCTACCTATCTTATTATGTCTATGTTTATAGTTCATTTTGACCATTATCTATGACAAGAACCTGATCTTATTTGTGAGTTGTTTGGATTAAAACTAAAACTGAGTTTTGTTTTACTTAATTAATGTTAACGAGTTTGATGAAAAAAAAGTATTTTTGATTTTTGGCAATTAATTTTATCAAGGTATAAGAATGTTGACCAAATCGAAAATTGGATTTTGATAACACTGCGTTCAAAAACTTTCTTAATAACCCTTTCAGCAAGGATAGTCCACCAGCCCTCTGAACTATCGAGGCAATCAAAGTAAAAAATGATAATCTAAAAATTAACTTATTGGCACTTTTCCCTATATTGGTGCCCAGTCTTCAGTTGTAGCTTGTTATATAATGAATAAAAAACCATATCAATTAGTTACAGATATAGTTGAGTATTTCTAGAGTATAGACCCCCAATGACTAGAAAATTCTAGGCTTAGCAATTATGTTAATAAATATTCCGAAATAAAGATAACTTGTTATGTTATGTCTATATGGGATTGAGCGAAAATTAATTGTAATGACAATTACATGTTTAACCAAAAAAAATGTTACGCGTCAATTTCCACTCCGGAAATCGTTTTCAGAAAACATTATTATGAAAATTCTGGGACATATATAACCAAAAATGTATTGTTTTTAGCTTGTATTTTTCAAAATTGACAGTTGACTTTTTGGCCTTGATATTGTAGACAACAGCATGTTTATGGATGAAAAATCTAAGGTGGTGTTTTTTTCCCTTAGAATATCAAATGCTGAGTGTTAGGTATTTACTTTTGTGTTATATGTTTGTATAATGTGTGTTAACGTACATTGTATGTTTGTGTATTGTATGTTGCATATGTATTGGTGAATTTCAGACTATTAATCCGCTATTGTTGGTATATTGTGAGCTGCTTTTCTCTTTTTCATGTCTGTTTCTTTCATAAATTGTGGCTCAATCCCAAATAATCATAACATCTTACTTAGACATGCCAAAAAAGCAGTTTCAAAACTGATCTTTTATAAGCGGACAGAAGAAAATAGTGATGCTTTAAATCAACTAAAACCTCATTTTTATTATGTTTCGGTCATGGGGAATCTATGCAGCAAGCGTCATATGTAGCGATATAGTTAAAAAAATAAAATATTTGCCAATTACATTTTCCACATAACAATAAAATATATTGTCTAAAATCTGATGGATCTGAATCTAACCAGCGCCAAATGCTACAATTACGGTAGTATAATTGATCACAGTCAATACCACGTAAAAAACGCTTCCATCTTAACTATACTTTTTCAAGAATTGAGTGTGGAATTCGGCGAATTTATCCAACATGGCCTTTAGCTTTTCGGGTTGGGGTAAGATGGTAGTTCTGAAGTGGTGGGTGCCAGGCTGCTGGCCGAATCCGGATCCAGGAACGATGCAAATACCTGTGGATTCCAATAAATCGAAGGCGTAGAATGCATCGGGGGCTTGACCCTTCTTCTTTGCTGCTTCGATGGCTTTGGGTGGGAGTTTAAATTGGGGGAAGGCGTACATGGCCCCTTGGACTGGGTTGCAGCTGAAGCCTTCCATGGAATTGAATGTATCAGCTACCATTTTGGCCCTTAACTACAAAATAAATATCATATTTAAAAAGTCACTAATAATAAAGGAAAAATAAGTAGTATAGTAGATATTCTAGATAATACAAGTAGGTCCATTTCTTGGAACAAAAGATAGAAAAACACCACAAACTGAGTTACTTCTTCCATAAGTACGAAGTAGTTGCCAGTGACATCACTTACTATTGAGAGGGTCAGTCGTAATAGGGTTTAAGTGCAGTTTTGATAGTTATGAGATAACCAGCGTCAAAGTTGTTTGAGTTTTATAAAATCTATGAATGATTAAACTAAAATCTGTCTATTGTACAATGTTCTATAAAATGATAAAAATATAAGGGTATATTATTACTTTTACTACATCCTTTCTGTTTTTCAATTATTGAAAAAACGTACTTGAACCGGGACATGGTGTTTTTAAATGTTACTGGTAAAACGGTTCAAGTGCAGATGTTAGGTATTTTTAATCATTTTTTAAGTGTTAAACACTAAACTTTATTTTGTAAATTTTTAAGTACAATATCATTCGTAATCCGACTTTAAGATAATATCTTCTTCGCCATCACTCCCGTCGGCGTCGTCTCTGCTGGCAGCTGATTTTGCTGATTCCAATTTTGCTCTGCCATTGATGTTCTAGTATGTTTCCAATTTCGGTAAAACTAGTGGTGACATAAGGGAATGTAGTCCAAGAGGCTTAGCAGATTTTTATATTTGGCATCCTTAATTGGTAGCGTCGTGTAAATAAAGTTCAATTTGCAGAGCTGAAAAGATGGACGTCCACTTTGGAAAACTCAATATCCTGGTTTAAAGTATGCTTGTATCTGTCTTAAAATATGCCAACCAGGAAATACTGCGCCATTGTATTCTCTGACCAATGGAATCTTTTTAGGATCTTTCATTATTTCATGTAGGATCGAAAACGAGTAAAAATCTTCTGTCGTCATGTTGTAAGCTACAAACTTTGAGGATGTATTTTTTATATCACGTTCCCAATCTGCTGGAACAAAAACTTAAGGAATTTGTCGTTGTTTCATTCAATTAAACCAAAACTCCTGTCCCACTCCAGATAGGTGTGACCAAGTTCCAGAAACTTGTGATGGATCTCGGAGATATGAGTTGTTTGAACGATGAAGGAGAATAGTTTGCAGATGTTTTTGTTTTTATTCTGCCCTCCACAAGAGTCACATATGTAACTATCTTTGTTACCTTAGGGGGTAGACACCTGATAAATTTTATCAGACATGAGCCTATTTCCTGGGAACCTCTTGCTGCAACTGTTTCATTCCATAAAAATATGTGACTTTGTCCAGTAAGTTGTATATACAAAAATTGTACGTCCTTAGTTGACGAAGGTAAAATACCTTGGACAAATCGAAGCAAATAATGACAGTATTCTCAACATTTTTGTGTTTTTCAATATCTAATTTTTTAGAATCGTTGCTTTCTTAGCTTTTCTCTGATGTAATTCTAAATCCCGTTTAGCGTTTGAAATGGTTTCCTCATTTTCAGAATATTTTATCAAGTTTTGAAAATTCTTACAGTGACTACATGTATCACTATAAGGCTTGTGAAATTTCAAATTGAACTCTGTGTTGAAGATAAATCGATAATATGATTCTTTCAAAAGTTCTTCATGTTCTTCATTACAAAATTCCTTATATAGATTATACATCTTACTAATATTCAAATCGCCAGGAAGGTATTTAGTATTAAGATTCTCTTTTCTCGAATAATGGCTCTGATACTTTGGAAACATCTTAATGTGGGAAATCACCATATTCTGGATGATTGTTTAATTTTGTTTGGAGGTTCCTTCTTTCCTCGTTTATCAGGTTCACTCATTCCGAAGTCTGATATTTTTGAACAAACAACCTGAAATCTGCGCACAGAAACGTCAAAAGTACGTAAGAAAAACGTTTTGCAGGCACGTTTTCCGATCAGAGTTATTATTGTGCTGTAGTTTTTCTTTTTAGAAGCTTCTTCGTTGGGTCGTGCTGGGCCAACCTTTGTTATACAGGCGGAGAAAACGCTGTTTGCAGATCGTATGAAGGTAATCCATAAAATGTTTGGAATAGTTTGCGTCCTTCCGTATCTCGTTGCAATTGAATCGACATACATGGTTATAGACTTTCAGTTCTCTGGCTTTCTATGGTTTATTTTTTCGTCCAACATAGGCTTTACTTTCAGTTCGCATTTTCTTTGCTATGTTGTCTTTGAGGAATAATATGTAAATCGTCATTGTTTTCAGTGAAAAGCTCGTCAATCCCTGTGTCATCCGCTTGTTCTTCTTTATTCGGTATATAATCTGAATCCTCGTCTGCTTGGAAAGGATCGGATTCTTTTGCAACAAATACGAAATATTCAATTTGATAGAAAACCGTAGTGCTGCTGCGTGACAGTGGCGTATCTAGACTTTAGGATGCAAGATTTGCCTTCGAGGGAGAACTTTCAATGAAACACCTACCGAAAGACGTAAATAAATATACCCAAATAACATAAAAGATATACATAATACCTTATATGTATTAAGTTCCCTTAATTTTCCTTACTAACGTGTTTATTGGGTTGAATTTGTCTGCATGTGGTTCAAGTTCCATGTCATCTAATATATTTTCGTTTCAACAATTATTTCTTTAATTTTGTACCTTGTTAGGGGCGGAAATTTCCCAATTTTCAATCCCTGTAGATCCGCCACTGGTGCGTGGACATTTGATTATTTACATTTTTTTTGTTCAACTTACAACAAAATATAACCTATATTACATTCGAAAACTAAATTTTATCATGTTAAGTAATTTGATTTAATTTACTTACCATCAGTCACCCGGATGTTATCCAAAGTATAACTACAACTTGCACGTTGCTCATTACTTAATTAGTCTTTAAAATTCGACACAAATTTTATATTTATTTTCTTGGAAAATAATCTTGTGTTTTACATGTGTTTTTACAGAATACTAAAAATAGTTTGGTGGTAAAACGGTTTAACCGCACATAAACATGTTTACTACCAATGCAAACTGTAATTGTTTTCACTAAATAAGTGTAATGGCAATAGATGGCGACTGTAGAGTGAAATATGCTTGAATCATTTTAGCACCAAGTGATAATACCATTTAAGTATGCGAATCTGTACTTAAACCATATTTTTTAAAAAGTGTAATTAAACCCTTTTACTTCGAACCCCCTCAATTAAAAAAAATGAGAAGGATCTATAACAATTGTTGAAATGAATAGGAGATTTGTCGCTTACTAGGATAATAAAATTATCTGCAAAAATCTAAAAATAACATTCAGTGTTGTCATCTGTGTACGAATGTACCAAATTGATGTTGTGATACATTACAAGAAACTGTACATTTTTTTTATCTATTTCTTGCTTTAGCTTTAAGATTTAACAATTCTTACCTTAAGAGATTCCAAAACGGAAGCCTTATCCTTTTCGAATTGTTCGTAACTGGGTTCTCCTGGTTTGGGAGGGTTCACAATAACATCTAAAGTCGATTGACCGAAAGTAGTTGAACACAACATAGCGCTAATTGCTTTAAAATATTGGGCTTTAACTTCTGGATCCATATTGACGACTTCTGCATAACCTCCCCTAAGACCGCACTCGCCCATGTAACCCTTGGAACAAGACATGAAACTGGCAAGCTCCATGCTTCTGTAAGGTTCTCCCATTTCATACATAACCTAGAAATATTTTCCTAGATTAGAAGATTTCCTAGCTTGTACGTATTGGGAAAAAAGTCTAGACAAAATTGTTCGAAAAGCTACTGTTATCTATGTAAGAGGTAAATGCAACAACACTATATCTATATCTCCGCTTTCAGCACTTCCATATAGCGCTTCAGTAGCCGTTTTACTATGATATATAGCCAACATACTAGAGAAAATCATTTACTAAATACGAGGATAGATTGATATCAAACTAGTCTTTGTAGATGGCGCTACTTGATACCAAATTGATTTCGGTGTTGACATTTGCCATTCACGACATGACGTCTGTCAAAATTTTAAGTTTTAGAAACGATTAGTTTGGATTTTACAGCCGTCAAAAGCAAGCAAATTTTGTGTTTTCGGAGAAATGGAAAAAGTCGACTATCGTTCGGTAATTAAGTTACTTCACAAAAAGGGTAAAACGAATGTGCAAATCAAAGCCGACCTGGACGAAGCTTATGGTGAGATTGCACCTTCGTTAGCAACAGTAAAATTTTGGAAAGCTGAATTTCTTCGTGGTCGTACGAGTGTTTTTGATGATAAGCGTCCCGGGAAGCCAAATGAAGTCACCACGCCGGAAATGATCAACAAAGTCCATGACATGATTATGGCAGATCGTCGAATTAAGCTCCGTGAGTTCATAGAGGTCGTGTAAACATTTCCTACGAATGCGTATTATTTGGCAAATATACGAGAAGGTTTCAGAATCTTAGATGCCGGCGCAGAGATCAGAGAGAGCGCGCATTCGGAGAGTAAAAGAGGGAAGACGTAAACGCTCGGTTTGGTGATAAGGTACAGTCTTCCTCAAAAATTTTTTTTAAATGCAAAAATTTAAATACTAAGAAACATTTGGATACAATACAAATTATACAAATACCTAGTATGGAGTCATTAGCGAGAAATATTTTGTTGAATTTGACGTAATCCATTAATGTCTTTTTAATCGTAATCAAGGAAGGTAGGTATTATTTAAAAAATACGTAAAACATTTATTTTTTATTCATTAGCTTTTCTCCTTAATGGTTTACATTTTAGATGTGTTTACACTAAATAAGTAAACAATAATAATGAGATAAAACTATAAAAGTTACGTCTCAACTGTTGGATTTCCGGTTTTTCCATTAAAAGTTTTTTATTATTTTTTGTTTTTCTCTAACGAAACCCTATATCCCTCATTGCTTTTCTCAATGATTCACGCGAACCATTGTAGTTGTACTCAGTGGCAAATTTTCTATGTATTTGTCGTAAAGTTGAAACTTGTTTTTCTGTAGTACAAAAATTAATAATAAATCGACGAAGCACCCCTTTGTCGCACTCAACCAACTTAGATTTTAAAGCCGACTTGTTTCTTTTTTTATTTGGAGTACGAAAGCTTGATGCAGTACCATCTTCGATGCACTTCATTTCCTTCGAAATGGCTTATATGGTGGATAAACTTACACCTGTTGCTCTTACAACACGTTTTTGTATTTGTTTTAAGTCTATTAGAGGTACGTTGTCCCTTGCTTCTTGTTGCATAAAGTGCATAACATTTGCTATAATTTCTCGGCTTTGACCGGACAAAACTTTTCGATTTAATTTTGATTTAAATTCCATTGCACTGAGACACACTATTCTTTAAGAAAACTCTGCCGCAGACTGTACCGACCGACCTTTACAAGTTGAAGTGTTGACTTCGACTGGTATATTTCCGATAAATTTAGTGCGCATCAGGTGGGCGTGGCGATTGTAAGATTTTCAAACTTCTTCCTAAATTTGAAAAATTATACACAACATCATTCACCATCATTTGGACATGAAAAAGTTATCCGCGCGATGGGTGCCGCGTTTGTTGACAATCGATCAAATGCAAAACGTGTGACGACTTCGGAGACGCTTTTAGCGATAATACGGCGCGATCCGAAGGATTTTTCTCCGATTTATCACCGTTGATGAAACCTGGGTGCATTATTATACACCGAAAACCAAAGAACAGTCGAAACAGTAACGCAAACGCGGCGAAGGGCCGCCGAAGAAAGCAAAGAGTGCACATTCGGATGGTAAAGTGATGGCGACTGTTTTCTGGGATGCGAAGGGGCATCATCCACATCGACTACTTCTAAAAAGGAAAAACAATCAATGGTGAGTACTACGCCGCATTATTGGATCGATTCGTTGCCGAATTGCGTCGAAAAAAAATTGTCGGTTTAGAACGCAAAAAAATGCTCTTTCACCAAGACAGTGCACCGGCCCACCGATCGGCCGTCGGCATGGCAAAATTACACGAATTGGGCTATGAATTGGTTGAACACCCACCGTATTCCCCAGATCTTGCCGCCAGCGATTTTTTTTCTGCCAAACCTAAAAAAATGGTTCGGAAGACGCCGTTTCGCAACAAATGATGAAGTTGTAGCTGAAACCTTGGCCTATTGAAGAGCTCAAGCAACAGTACTATTCGGATAGGATAAAAAAATTGGAACATCGTCTTAATAAGTGTATCGAGCTAAAAGGGGACTATGTTGAGAAATAAATCGATTTAATTCCAAAAAACTTGTTTTTTCTATCAAAGGCTAGTTTTATATCAATCCACTCTCGTATAGCAACTAAAGCAAGTCCAATATAGCCCTTTTTTCACTTAATATACTGATACAAAGATGCCTGGACGGTAATCAAGATATATATGCATGTTTTATTGACTATAATATGACTATAATACGATAAAGTACGATATAAACAATTAATGAAGGTCCTGAGATCAAAGAAGATTGTCAGAAGAAATTGAAATTGACATAGAGTAAGACAGGGATGCTTATTGTCGCCAATTCTTTTTAATGCCTACTCCGAAGAGATCCTGAAAAAAGCTCTTGAGGGTGAAACACCTGGAATAAAAGTAAATGGAGTTCCCATTAACAACATTAGATATGCGGACGACACTGTGATTTTAGCCGAAAATATTGAAGATCTCCAGAGACTGGTGACCAGAATAGCGGATTAGGGAAACGAATAATGAACGTCAAGAAGACGAAATTTATGAGAATCGAGAATCGAAAATTCAAAGAAATAACGAGAATCTTCTAATAAACAGAACCAACGTCGAACAAGTGGACAAATATGCATATCTTTGAACAATAATTAACTCCACAAATGATTACATTCAGGAGATCAAAATCAGAATAGAAAAGGTTACAGCAAATTTCAACAAAACGAGAAGAGTGCTATGTACAAGGGATTTAAAATTGGAAATATGTGCTATGTTTTCTCGACTTCGATTTGCGACATCAATGAAAAAACTGGAATCATTCGAGCTGTGGGTGTATAGAAGAATTCTGAAAATATTGTGGACAAAACACGTCACAAACAAAGAGGTTCTGAAAAGGATGAATAAAGAAATAGAAATTTTAAATAAATTAAAACAAGAAAATTAGAATATCTCTGACATATCACACGGGGAGAGAAATACACCTAGCTCCAACTGATTATGCAGGGAACGAGAAGCTTAGGGAGGCGTATATCAAATGTACTTTTCAGAGCAGCCGTCTCAAAAATCCGAATAGCTATAATGATTGCCGACCTCCGCCGCGGAGATGGCACTAGAATAAGAAGATGGAAAAAAATTATGTTACCTTCATTAATTGTGTTTAGTTAATCTGTTATTAATGTTAAGTACGGACATGGCAAGACGTATTGTTCCTATTTAAGAATCAATTCTTTCCAGTCAAATAAAAATATGGGCAGTAATAACTATTCTTACCTTTTTGAAAGAATGGAATTTTGAGTTAGGGTCGTATATATTGTGCTGATATACTTCATCGGCCAAAATGAACAGCTTTTCTTTCTGTGCGAACTTTACAATCTCTTCGATATTTTCTTTGGTCAAAACTTGTCCGGTGGGATTTCCTGGATTGATAACCACAATAGCTCTTGGAGTGCATTGCTTTTTAGCTTCGTTTATCGACCTCTAAAGTGGAAAACAGAAAAAGCTGTGTAAGAATCTTTTCAATTTACTTTGTTGACTCACCTCTAGTTCTTGTAAAGAAAGACCCCAGTTCTTTGATTCGTCTAGATAATACCCGACTTGATCAATATCAAATTCAGATAAAGTTGCGGAATACAATGGGTATTGTGGAATGGGAATCATTACACCGGGTTTCTTTCCATTTGTACGGCATATGAAGAGTTTGAGAACGTTTTTGATAGCGTCACTGGCACCTAAGGCAAAACAGTTTGTTACAAGAATGTTACAAAACAAAATGTCAAAAAGATCTTACCCCCACTAATCACAATATTCTGCCAATCGCTTGGAATACCATCCCTGTTCTCGATATACTGTGCTACGTGTCTTCTGATAACTTCAATACCAGGCGAATCAGTATAAGATCCTAGTGAGCTACCCCGGCAACCCTTTAATATAGTTCTTGCGCGCTCTTTAGCATCTTCTGGAAATTGAGGGTCGTCTAGAAGTTTCGGATAAGCGACCAAAGCCAGCACTTGACGGATGAAGGTGATTGGAACTTGGCCCATAGCATGGCAATCTCCAATGTTGGCTTTTATAACTTCCTTGAATGGTTTGCTTGCGCCCTGGAAGAGAAGTATGTGTGAATTAAAATGTCAGAAGTAAAACGATCGGGTAGTAAAATATACTAGAAAGTAGAGTACGAGAACGAATATGCAAAGTACGAAAAAAAATTTCATATATTAAATTTTGTTTCGCATAAACTTTAAACGTAAAAGGTTTTATCATAAATATTTCATCCTTTTCTCGAAAGAAACTGCAGAGTATTCGTTTTATTACACACGATACTCATTATTTTTTAATTTTAAGCTTTTTTAGCTATATTCTTTTAATATATTCGTATTTGTAGTAACCATAATTATCTAAATATGTTGCAGATTAATTTTTTGCCTAACCTTAATAATTAAATACTCCGCGATGGGTGCTATATGTAATTAAGTGTGCTCCGCGCGAACCCCGGTGCTTCGCAAAACATCCGATAGGGCTCCGCCTGCGGCAAAAATAAATACATATATATTAAAGCGGAACCTATAAAAATAAAGTTACCCAAGAATAAACTACCAAAACGAAACGTCTAATTATAGGTTTAACTGGATTTTCATACGTCTTTCCCCACTTCTCCGCCTTTAAACGATGAATCCCTTTTCCAAATAGTGAAATTAGAGTTTAAATAAATTTATAGATTGTAGGCTTCTTATTGTTACCGCCTTTTTTTAATTTAAAATTTGATGTTCTGTCAAGGTGTAATGACACCTGACAGTTGATAGACGACAAGAAGATTGTAGGACATGAGGTCGGAATAAAGTTGCGTGAACCATGTTTGTGTTTTATTTTTATATCTTAAGAAATTGAAGACATCCTTTCTACAGAATCAGGTGTGAGGTTATACTTATGTTCCCCTTGTGCTGTTAGGACAGAAGGATATTATATTTTTTTATGCTTCGTTATGGATAACCTCGAAAATAACTTACCGGTTACACCACCACCTGTGTTATCACCCCAAGTGAATAGCCCCCGCGCAAATAATAATGTGAATCTAAATCCGGATGATAATATGGTAAACCTTGTTAATTCATTGCTTCAACAGAATGCACAGATGCTTCAGATGTTACAACTACAAAACAGCATGTCAACAATAAGTAATCCTGTACCAAATTTTAATATAATGCCAGACTTATCTAAAACTATTGAAAAATTTAATGGTGAAGGTGATTCCAGCCAAGCTGCAGTATGGTTAAAGCAAATCGAGTCTACAGCGGTACTTCACAATTGGCCTGATGCATTTATATACCAAACAATCAGCTACAGGAACTTTTTTCCTTGTGGATTTTACTTTATGTTTAGCAACTACAGCTTATATTTGCCCAAAACAATTAATATCTATTATTACCCATTATGTCTACAATTAAGAACTTATACTTATGATGAATTACGTTTATGAGGAATAATTCCTGAAAGGTGTTTATATGATAACGTATGTTTATGACAAATATTTATGATTGTTATGATTTTGTCATGATTATGTACTTTCAATGACATGTTATGACTAATATTTATAAATCTTATGATTTTTGTCATGTTCATGTGCTTTCAATGACAGTTTATGACAAATGATATGTTATAGCAAATATTTATGAATGTTATGATTTTGTTATGTTTTTATGTACTTCCAAATAGTTTATTTTTGTATATGGAAGAGCGAGGACGCTCTTGTTGTCGGTTGGCCGAGCTGTAGGCTTCTTATTGTTACCGCCTTTTTTTAATTTAAAATGTGATGTTCCGTCAAGGTGTAATGACAGCTGACAGTTGATAGACGACAAGAAGATTGTAGGACATGAGGTCGGAATAAAGTTGCGTGAACCATGTTTGTGTTTTATTTTTATATCTTAAGAAATTGAAGACATCCTTTCTATAAGATTTAATATATTGTTAAGTAAGCTCCCGGCCTATGACATCGAAATGTTGCATATAAACCACTATTCTCTTCCTCACTATAAGCATTTGAACAAATTCGATTCGCCGCGCCGGTTCACGATTCTTACTCGTTACTCCGGACCAGAGAACTACGAACACACTACGAAACTGCGTTCGTAGTTCTCTGCTCCGGACTGAGAAAAACTTCTGGCTGCGCAAGTTTCTGGGGAATTCGAGATAAGCAATAGTTACTTGCACCACCCTTGCATGCACCTCGCAAATTCATACTCAGTATTTTATAGATTATTCTCTGAATATTATTCCCTTGTGTTGCTGGTAGTGGTTGTAAAGTCTTGTATTTCGTACATAAAGAGATTTTGTGAAAAAATTATTCAAATTAAATTAGTTATTAGTTATATAATTATAATTAAATTAGCGTTGCGTTAAAACGGCTGCAACAAAATCTTCCATGGAGAATTCACAAGTTGCTTTGTAACTTTCTATTTTTACTGTTTTCAATAAGTTTCGGTGTACGGACAGTTTAACTGTAAATTCTTCTTCTTCTTTTCCAATGTACGAGATTTTACTTATTAATATTCAAAGAAAAGCAATAAACACGATTGAAAAAATGTAAAATTTAACAGACTAACGAACCAGTTATTTTCAATTTAAGTTATTATGTAAACATTACGTTCAGTAAAATTAAAATAATTTCGACAATAATTATATCAGTGTTGTTACATAATAGCGCTAATTACCAAAGCATTCACGTATACTTGAACATTTATCGAAATAATACAAATAGGATGTGATAAGATAAACTGGTTCGTGCATAGTTATTATCGGTTGTTTACTAGAATTAAGTACAAAAGTTATATATATATATATATATATATATATATATATATATATATATAATATATATATATATAACAATTTATTGTCTTTATGTATCGGGTATGCGATCTGTAATTTAAAAAAAACTCTTTTTTTCTTTTAATTCTTTATATTTCGATGATTTTTTGTCAGCTTCATCAGGAGACAACTAAAATATGGTTAAAAGTTATATAAAAATTCAAGTGAGAATAAACAATGAATCACTTACATATTTAGACTTAAAAATATTTAAAAAAGTTGTACATAATATGTTCAAAACAGTACTGACAGTATCGGTTAAAAGCACCTACACTTCATCTAATTTATATAACGATGCACGTCATCGGCGTCATAGCCTGTGACGTCACATGATACCAACAAAATATTTAGGGTGTAGGTGTGTTCTTTTTTAAAATCACTTTACCGAGTACACTGACATTACAGCCACTAGACATATTTTATTATATACGCGTAGAAATCATATTTTAAAATTTCTATTAATGTTAACTTGAAATATACAATAATATGTTTCATTTAATTTGTATAAATACATTATAAAGCGTTTTTATCAAGAACATTTGTTCGGAACACACTGTAACTGTAATCGAACGAAGGTAAAATTTTGGCTAAATTGGTAACACTTATTTGACAGTTGCGGTGTTGACACTTTTTGTACTTCATTATTTTGAATTTTAAAGTGAATATCTCTTGTTTTATATTTTTAACTATCTAATAAAATCTGTTCTTTTTAGAACAAAATTAATGTGTTATATTTCAAAAATGTCACGTAAGAATTTAAATAGTCTTTGTAAAGAGATGGTAATGCTTTTGCAATAATTATGTAATCTATTTGATTTAAAATGGAGTCAGGATTTTTTTATACTTTGGCAACTATGTCAACTTCGATCTCTGACGTAGATAATGACGTAAGTCGTTATCTAAATTAGATGAAGTATAGGTCACTATTGATTAAATATAAAAACAGAGTAAACAAAAACAACCAAGAAACAATTAAAACACAATAAAATTAATTGTTTATACAATAATTCCAATTATTAGTCTCTTAGTCTCATTTTTACCAATTTTCCATAAAAGGCGTTATATTTAAATGTCTAAATCAATAAAAAATTCATTTGAGGCCTATAGAAACGTGTTTTTTTTAATAAATTTTATTTATAGTGCAAATGATATTTCAAAATCAAATTTTTTACAGGTAAAAATACATACATTAAACTACTTGAAAAAAAAATGTTTTTTATTTTTTTTTTCAAGATGGCGGTTCTGAAATTGGCTCCTCAAACTTGTCAAATTTGTTAGTGCGTGTCATCATTTCTTGGAAACGAATGATTTTTGAATACAAAAAACAAAATGGTTTCATCTATTAGTTTCTCTATCGAAATGGCTATAGTTGGTACTTGAATGAAATATTTTCACCGAAAAAAAAAAAGAAAATGACGGACTTTTGAATTTTTCGACCCTTTTTTGTACTTTTGCATAATTGTTTATAACTTTTTTAAATAACAATAAATACGAGCGACACTTAGTTGAAAAAACGTGGTTTCGAGAAAAGCCGATTAAAGTAAACAGCCTCCGCTTGACCGGTCAGATTAACCGCTTGAGCGGTCGAATTAACCGCTTGAGCGGTCGGATTAACCGCTTGAGCGGTCGGATTAACCGCTTAGAGCACACCGCTCTACTCTCTACTCTGCCTACTTCAAGGTCGCGCGTACCTTCTGGACTATTTATAAGAGAAGCAATTTTTGAAAAAAAAATTCGATTTTTCGAAAATTGTTTGGAGTAACCTTACCTTTAGGCAATAAGTTTAGTAGATATACTGTATTTCACCTATATCGGCTATGGTTGTTGTTGTTGTTGTTTGTTTGTGTTTAAATGACTGTGGACACTAAATCCATTCGCCAATCTTACTATTTGAGGTGTAGTGTGTGTGTGTGTGTAGAGTAATTGTCTTGATACTTAGCAAAGTCGACGTCATTGTCTTTGCTAAGAGACGCTAATTATATCCGAACGTCTGCGATCCCTCCGTTGAGTACCGATCACACAAGGATAGAAATTATTTTCATTTATTAATTTTTTTAATAAACGAAAATTTTCACTTAGGTGGGATTCGAACTCACGACCTTTAGGTTTAAAGGCAGGCGCTCTTACCACTGAGCCACAGAGGGGTTTTCACTACCAAAGGAGAATTCAAGTATAGGGAATTAAAACCACAGTCAATGTGTATTTTACCATATTTATTTGCTCAATACTTTGAACA